AAATACAGGGCGCCGCGACCGTAAAACCACACAAGCAAGCAGAGCTCTTTTTTTCTCGATAACTTGGAGGGGCCCGTCTGTCATTTTTGAGAGCTCTCTTCTGATCGGAAGCTCTCTTCCGTGTTTTGAAGAGGAGAGGGGAGATGGTCAGGAGTTCCCGCCCCTGACTAAGAGAGAAAGGAGTCTTCTTGTCGACTGTCGACAAAGAAGTAAACACACCTCTCTTCTTTCTCAAGAAATTGGAGGAGCCTCTCTTCTGAGTTGTTGGGGTAGAAGACCTGTCAGGGGATCTCTTCCTCCATCAGAGGGTACAGGAGCAGCCCTCTTCTGTCTTGCGAAATTGGAGGGAGCTTTCTTTCTCTGTTGGACGATTAGGTAGAGAACTCAATAACCTGGAAGTGCCGGTCTATCTTATTTCGAAATCGAGCTCTCTTCTGTATCATTGGATTGGATGAAGCTCTCAGTCTCCTCTTGTCGAGGCTGAGGCAGCGGGCTTTTCTGTTTGGAACGAGGAAGAGGAGATACTCAGGAGCTTTCTTAATTTCCCTGGCCAAGAGAGAAAGGAGGCTTCTTCTGGCCGACTGAGGGGTAGACGGAGCGCTCTTCTCTCTCACGAAGTTGGAGGGGCTTGACTGCTATTTTGCAATAAAGCCCTCGTCTGTCTCACAAGGTTGGAGGAGTCCCACCCTCTCTTCTTGAACGTATAACGTATGCTCGCTTCCCTCTGTTGCAAGGTAACGGGGATAGTCAGGACTTCCTTCCCTTGCCTAGAAAGAAGGAGGTCTCTGCTGATGGGTTAACGGAGCTCTCTTCTTGCTCGATAACTCGTAGGGACCTGTCTGTCTGTTTATGGAAATGGAGCTCTCTTCTTTCTCATTAGATTGGATGAAGCTTTCAGTCCCCTCTTGTCGAAGATTTGGTAGAAGGCTTTTCGAGAAGGCAAGGGAGCTGTGCCCTCTCTTGCCACGGGGTCTCTTCCTCTACCGAGAGGTAACGGAGCTCTCTTCTAGAAAGAAGCTGTCTTCTCTTACCAGGGGTAACTTGGAGTGAGTTCTTTTCTTGTTTCAGAGGATGAGGTAGAGGGCTTCTCATCTCCTGTTTGAAGGCCGGACGAAGGGAGGACTAGACGTCTCTCGTCAAGGTTGGAAGTTTGGAAGAACTCCATGCTTTCTTCTTGATCGTAAGCTCTCTTCCTTTGTCTTGAAGAAGAGAGGCAGTGAGGGGGTGGCTCTGTCTTCTTTGCTTGGAGTGAGGTCTCTTCACTGTTCTCAAGACTGCAAAGCGACTTACCAAAAGGTATACTGGAACTCTCTTCGCTCCGGTTTGGTGGCTCAGAGGCTGGAATCCGCTGGAATCCAACCCAGGCAGATCACAACCTACGCACAAGCCCCTCCCGGTTTAGATAGTTTAGATAGTTTGAATAGTTTAGATAGTTTGGGCCCCCCCCGTGCCCCCCAAACTATCTAAACTCAGGGGCGAAACCCGCAAAGGGGCGTAACCCGCTCCGGGGCGAAACCCGCTCAGGGGCGAAACCCGCTCAGGGGCGAAACAGAGGCGAAACCCGCAAAGGGGCAAAACCCGCTCCGAACCCGCTCAGGGGCGTAACCCGCAAAGGGGCGAAACCCGCTCAGGGCGAAACCCGCACAGGGGGAAGGAAACCCGCTCAGGGGCGAAACCCGCTTAGGGGGGCGAAATGCGCTCAGGGGCGAAACCCGCACAGGGGCGAAACCCGCTCCGGGCGAAACCCGCTCAGGGGGGAAACCCGCTCAGGTGCGCTCTGGTCTAAACCCCTCCCGTTTTAGATAGTTTGGGTAGTTTGGGCCCTTCCCCGTGCCACCCCGAACTATCTAAACTATCTAAACCCCTCTCTCTCCAGACCGACGGGAGACACCCAAACTATCTAAACTGGGAGGGGTTTAGATAGTTTAGATAGTTTGGGTGGCACGGGGGAAGGCCCAAACTATCTAAACTATCTAAACCCCTCTCTCTCCAGACCAACGGGAGACCCCCAAACTATCTAAACTATCTAAACTATCCAAACTATCTAAACTATCTAAACCGGGAGGGGTTTAGATAGCTTAGATAGTTTGGGTGGCACGGGGGAAGGCCCAAACTATCTAAACTACCTAAACCCCTCTCTCTCCAGACGAACGGGAGACCCCCAAACTATCTAAACTATCTAAACTATCCAAACTATCTAAACTATCTAAACCGGGAGGTTTAGATAGTTTAGATAGTTTGGGTGGCACGGGGGAAGGCCCAAACTATCTAAACTATCTAAACCGGGATGGGTTTAGATAGTTTAAATAGTTTGGATAGTTTGAGCCCTCCCCGGCGTCCCACAAACTATCTAAACTATCCAATCCCCTTCTGGCTTAAATACCCCAAACAGGAACGCCACATTATACATAAAGGCTTCTCTTACATACATATATATATATATATATGCTCACCCCCCCCCCCCGGTGACAGACCACGGGTCTAAAAAACACCGTGCACAACGATATTCTGTGAAGCAAAACCGTTACATGAGGTATATAGTATAGCACCAGACGTGCGGCACATGAGTTACGTAATAGTCTTGTGGTAGTATCGGTATTAGGGTGAGTATTGTTATTAATATTAGTACTATTGCTTGCTGTAAGTATACGTATCAATATTGCCAACTATAAATTAGTGTTAGTGCTCATGTTCGTGTTAGAGTTAGCGCTAGTGCCAGTGTCAATGTCAGTAATACAGCACCACTGCTACGAGTAGTATCAGTATCAGTCTTAATGCTGGGTTTAACAGCAGCTTATATTCGCAGAAGTGCTAGTATTAGTATCAATATTAGAACTAGTTAGTTTTGATATGTTAGTATATTGATAGTCTCGTATATTAGCAGATTAGTATATCAATACATCAATGTATTCGGACAGCAAAATATTTGCATACTTGTATACTAGTATATTTTACATGTTAGTACAACTGGTGCATGACTACACTACTATACTGCTGTATTAGCTTACTAGTATATTGACATACCAGTATATTCGTACGTTAGCATATTAGTGTACGAATATGTGTACTATATTACTGTTTTATCTAATCATGTATAAGTATATCAGTATGTTGGCATATTAGTATACGAACTTGTCATGTCGGTATTCTTGCATAGTGCAGTAGCCGTATATGATTATAGTCACATATTCGTATAGTATATTCATACAACAACGAGAAGTATATTGATACATTGGTATATGGGTATATGCCTATGCCAAAGCATTAATACATGAATGCACTGATGTATATATCTGTATCTTAAGATAGTGGTACGTATTTTATGTACATGAGTATATGCAGGTGTCTATTAGTAATGGTATTAGTTTTCATATCAATATGAATATACTATTGGTATTCGTAGGAGTATTAATGTCAATACTAGTAGAAGTAGGACTATTTATACTCGTAATAGCCATAATATGAGTGTTCATGCTGGTAATACTAGTGGCATTCTTGAATATGCAGCAGATTATCAAAGTCCGTATTAGTGTTGGTGATAGCACTACTGTTAACGCACAAGGGTTTACGTATTCGTATTCGTAGGAGTATAAATAGCTATGTAAATATTGATGTTAGTATAGATTTTGTGTTAAGTATTAGCAGTAGTGTTAGCGTTAGTACTATCATATTATTGATGATATACATTCGAAAGAATGTTTGTATTGTTATTACTCTTGACCACGTGAAATTCTAACAGTTGAATTCATGAGTGAGTTAAAGGATTTGTATTTTAATATGGTGGTATGCATGTTTATGTACATTAGTACATACAGGTGTGTGTTAGTATTGGTATTATTATACATTATTATCAATATGAATATGGTTATTGATATGCGTAGGAGTACTAAGAGCAATACTAATCAATCTTAGTATTTGTGTTATGCATATTCGTACTAAGCTTTATAGAAGTGTAATATTAGTAGTAATGCTGGTATTAGCTTGAGCATTCAACAAATGATCAATGTCAGTATGTTCAATGGCAATACTATATGTAGGAGTATCAATACATATATGTATATATAGATATACAGATAGATAGAGAGATATTCGTGTAAATATGGGCATGAGTATTGACAGCCCTTGCCTTTGCAAGTAATCTGGTCCGATGCGGAGACTAGCACGACAAGGCGCGCGGGTGTCCTACCAAGAAAGGAATTACAGAGCACACGTGTATGGATGAGGGTTGTGCTGATACACTACATAGTAAGCACTACACAGTAATCTTACTTGAGTCATATATAGAACAGATTCCAGCATTTCCAAAATTTCCAAAATTTCCAAAATTCTCTCCCCTAACTTTCCGCATTTCCAAAATTTCCAAAATTTCCAAAATTTCCAAAATTTCCAAAATTTCCAAAATTTCCAAATTTCCAAAATTTCCAAAATTTCCAAAATTTCCAAAATTTCCCGACCTAGTCGACAGGATTTTTCCAAAACATAAGGGCGGACTTTTTGGAAATTTTGGAAATTTTGGAAATTTTGGAAATTTCGGAAATTTTGGAAATTTTGGAAATTTTGGAAACTTTGGAAATCTGGAAAGTTAGGGGAGAGAATTTTGGAAATTTTGGAAATTTTGGAATTGAGGCTTTGAAAGCTGAGTGCCCCCTCCCCCCGATCACAGACCATGCACTACGACTGAGTCGAAAGGGTATGGTCTGTCATGGGGGGGGGGGGTGACCGTATATATATATATGTGTGTGTGTTCACAGTATGCGCAGAGAGAGAGAGAGAGAGAGAGAGAGAGAGAGAGAGAGAGAGGCCTCGGCCACAGTGTTGTATCTGTCCGGATATGTGTACTCTCAGTGTACTATGTCATATCCACATTGCACGACCCAGACAAACCTGATAAGCAGGAGCACGTACCTGCTCTATGTGCATGCTTGCATAACACCCACCCGATGCTTTGCTCTGCCAGAAATAAAAAAAAAGCAAAAGGGCATCTCAAGTCGCCAAGTGGCGTTCTCGAGCTCTGCAAACGGGGGAGCATCACGCGACTGATCCTCGGAGTACTTGAGGGCCATCCTGTAGAGATCGGGATACCTTCGGCTGATCTCTATAGTTTTGGGCTCCGGCTTTTCGGTTCCCTCATCGCATGTAAAAGACGGCATGCCCCAAACAAAATCAATAACTCACTAGGACGCGCTCGCTCAGAATCTCCGAAGTGTCAGAAAACCCTGGAATCTGAACTGCGCCAGGCAGCTTCTTCCCCCCGAGAAACTGGAGAAGTGGTGTCACCTTCCGCAGATCTTCGACGACCCGGATGGCCTGGTGCTGCCAGTAGCTTCTACGAGATACTTGGGAAAGCGCATGGTCAAAGGGTTCAAGGGGGTAAGCTGGTGAGTCTACGAAGAGAGATTCTGCCACTGAGTTCGTGGGCCAGCTGCTGGGAGCAAGTGCCAAAGCCTGCTTCTTGTAGACCTTAGGATCTTCCAGCATCGTCCGCAGAGTCTTCGTCACCGCCTCCCCCACACGTCTTTAGCCGAACATGCAACAAGGCATCATGCTCTTATGGTTGCATTACAAGCCGCACTTGGCCTCCAAGATCAGTGGGTCGACGAGGTGGGACCGTAGAAGCTGGCAGAGAACGTCTTGGAAGCAAATGGGATCACAGCACCTGTGAAAGCAATGGACACGCGCGATCAAAACGCAAACATGCCCCTCGTACAGTACTAGTATGGGTCTGAAAAAAGTGAAACTTCGATTTCCCAGCACCGAGGCGCTCTTGCAGAGAAGCGTTGCTTCGTTGCATCATCGCGGAAACGAACTGACAAATACAAGCGATCCTGGGTCAAGGGTTAGTCATGAGATAAGCATGGAAGGTCTGACGACTTGCAGACAGGCTCTGCCTTTCCACTCTACAGCCAAGGGTCGTCCTCGCTGGCAGAGGCTCGTCATTGTGCCGCCCTGCCAAAACCGGTGTAAGGCAGCAAAAGTGAAGCTCTTGAACAGGCATGTGAGCCACGAAACTCTGTGCAGCTTGACTTAGACGATGCGAGTCGACGTTCCTGAAGTCTGCTCGTGGTTTCCGCTTACATGCCCAGAGATCCGCGGATGCCTTTTGTGGCCGTGAGCACCTGGCGGAGGCGAGCCACGACCTGAGAAGCCGAGCTCTGAGCCCTCTGATTAGGCAAGGCCTTGCTCCACCCGGACTCGGCGATCTCTTCGTAAGACTCCAGCCTTGGAGTGGCTTGCAGCTTTGTAGAACATGTCCACGATCTCCTGTCAAAGTCCGCGTCTGCTCAGCTGCTGGAACTCTTGAACTGGACAGGAAACTGTTCGGAAACTGCTGCTCTGCGCTAGGGGCATGTTTATGAGGGCTCGCCCCCAGCATCCTGCGAGCCGTACATGATGATGTTCTGCGAGATCTGGAGCACGTCGATCCAAGTGCTTCTTAGCCGCATGTTATCCTGGGCTGAATGTGTTGTGCGAGACATGCAGCAGCCAGACGAAACTCCGAGCGACCTTTCGTTCTGTGGTACGATGCGCCAGCTGTGACTTTCATACAAATGGTCGGGTCACGAACAAGGCCTTGTTCTCGAGGTGCATGATAGTTCTGACAAAACAGGACTGGGATGACTCGGAGGAGCTCCAGTAAACGTGCCGGCAGACCTCGCCGCAAGTTCAGGTGTCGCAGCTCTCGTGGCGTACTCCTGCAACGGCTCCAGGCTCCCAGGCGAAGCTGGTCTAAGTTGCGTGACCAAATCGACCATCTGCAAGCCAGCCTCCGGACCTGTGATGGATGCCAGGAGCTTCACCTCAGCATTCCGTGCTGAAGGTTGGTCGAGTCGAGGTGAATCCATGCTTTCGGTGCCGGCGGGGGGTGGAAGTGAACGTCACAGAAAACTTGCCGCGGAACTTCTCGCGCACATTTCAATCACAGCTCGGCATGGGCCAGAAAGACTGAGCCATGCGGCAATGTGAGCGCCATCCTCGGTGAGGTATTCTTCCTTGGAAGCCATCACACACATACGACAAGTCGTGCTGATAGGGCTTTGTCTGCCAATATTGACACTAGAGGGAACGAAAGCACAGTGGAGTCTGGTCGGGAAGCACGAAAAAAGGCAGCTGGTACAACAACGAGGACCAGGATCACTGCTGAAAGAGTTCCCTCCCTTGCACACGGCTTTTACCCCGAAAGAGCTGTAGTAGAGCGTCGCGGAGGAACCAGTTCAACAGCAGCGGGAGCAACTCCTCGAGAATGTCGCAGACCTCCTCCCTGGCAAGATTGCTCGGACATGTGCAGAGATTGACGATGGATTGATGCTGATGTTGGGCCAAGGGATTCGCGCATGGGTCGTTTCCCACCAGCCTGATTTGCTTTTCCTGCACCAGATCGAGGAGGCCAAGGAGCATCGTCTTCGTGATTTCACTATTGATGTCGGCCTGAACACACCACGAGATAACCAAAAAAGAATCGGTCGTCATGCTTGCTTGTTGGTCTTCAGATGCAGGTGCACCTCACCAAAAGCGAGTAGAGTGGGGACCACGATCGTCTTTACTCCACGACCTGCTTCTTCACGGCCTCGAGTCCCAGTGCTTCAGCCCTGCGCACAGCTTCGGGAACCACAAGAATAGCAAGACGTGCGCCAAGAGGCAGTGATCACTGCTCAGCATCATGCGTCGGAGCAGGTCCAAACACCGGTTGCCGAGGTCATATGAAACGATGCACGACAAGAAGCCTCGCAGCAGGGCACTGAAGCTGTCCCTTGCCTCACACATGTACTTGGAGTCATCTTGAGTTAACAAAGTTAACCGCATGGATCTTCAGTGAGTGCCGTCTTCACTTTACATGCTGTGCTTGCCCCCGCTCCCATCACGCCCACTCACTAGGGTAAAACGCACCACTGCACCGCGACGTCGCTTCGTTCAGGCGGCCTAAAGTGTCCACCAAGTTGTTCCGGGCCGTGTCGTGGCGCTCCATAACCTCAAGGGTGGATGGACGGATGGAGCAAAGTTTGGATCTGGAGGAACCTGGCTCAGGTAGGCAGTGTTCGACGAAACAAGCAAATTTTGGCAAAGCTGTCCAACCATCTACGTCTAAAGCGGATGGTTGCGATGACGCTCATCCCAACCAGAGCGCCCTGTAGAACGGTAGATGTGACCCGCCCCCGCTGTACTCAGCACCCGGCTGCCGTGATCAGCTCAAGGATGTAGGACACTGTGATCTGCATCTCCTCGGGCAGCCCTGCTACCTGCCCTCGAGGCCTCTGCTAACAAACCCAATCACCCGGTCCCACAGGGCGCTTCACAGCTCAGGCTCCTGAGACTCTCCTGAATAGTGAAGAACGACAAGTTAGAACGTGGAAAGCTCCCAACTTTGAGCGGGAGGATACTCGCTTCTCCTTGTCAGAGCTGCCATGGTCCATCATGCCATCCCAAAATACCTCCTCGACGTCGAAGCCCTGACAGACCGCGCAGGTTTCTTCATACTCCGCTCGTGTATCTCAGACATTTCGATCGCATCGTCTTCCTAGACATGGCTGCCGCGCAAACTTGCCTAATTTCAGTTCATCGCGATGGTCGAAAGCAGTCGAAAGCCATTGCCTCCGCCGCCGCCCCGCTGCTTTGAGCCCTGAGGGCCGCATTCTCACGGACGATGCCGATGCGAGCAGCAAGGGCACTGGGCTCCTGCCATCCACGACATGTCTCGGACGAGAAGCCCAGAGGCTGTCGACTTTCGACATCTACGAAGACATGCTTTCGCATCCCCCGAGCGGCCTCCAAGATCTCCTCCAAGGACTCCATGATCAGCTTCAGCTTGCCCACCCCTGCTCCCATTTTAAGCCTGACAGCTCCAGCAATGAGATGGCGGCAGGGCAAGCTGCAACACGAACGGTACTGGTCTCACTTTTTGCCCGTGATCTGGCACACCCCAACTGAGACCTGGGCCCCATCCCGGCATTGCTCTGTTTCCGCGCCAGCTCCTCCTTGCAGACTTACATCCACACATGCAATAGAGTCAATAGAGTAGTCCCACTCCTTCTGGAGTCATACTCCGAGCTTATATACCCGCTTTGGCTTGAGTACTGTCAGTGCGCCAGACATCGCAAGAAGCGCCGTCCTGTCGCTTCTTGAAGGCAACATCGTAGACATCCAGGGCCAAGAGGTTCGTACTCTCGATCTCATCCCGCATGTCCCTGAGAACGCATGCTCTTACTGGCTCCGAGGACTGCTTCTCTTCGTTCAGGCTTTCGCGGGACTACAATGTTAGCTGCTCCACACGCAGGCTGAGGCTCCATACTGTATCCCCCAAAGCGTCAACAAACGAGTTCGCGGATGCCGAAGCCACATGGCAATTGTGGACAAGTTCGCTTTGCACAACTTTGGATTGGAAAGGGAAGTCTGCGCAGCCGGAACAAGTCCACGATACTTATTCAGAGAAGGGGAGCACCTCCGCAGACGAGGAGCGAAGAGAGCAGTAAGGGAGGTTGCAATCCGAGGCGCATTGTGATGATGCAGTCATCCAGCTTCTGCAGAGACTTAAGCTTGCTAACCACATAGATCTGGTACTCTTTGAAGCATGCCTCAGCGCGCACATGGCAGACAGGCCCCTGCAGCAGCAAGAAGGCCTTGGCTTTGATAGTTTCTATCCGAGAAGAGGCACCACAAACTTGTTATGGTAGAGCCGGAGGTTTTGCAGACTGCGGAGGTGGCTCATGGCGTTCAGCGCTTGCGAGAGCTGCGAGGGGGTCCAGTCCTGAGATCTTGGTTTGGTAACTGCCATACATCTGAATCTTGTTCGAAGCCGTCAAACCCGAAAATCTGCGAGTTCCGGCCAGTCTAGTGCTCCAACCATACGTAGGCCATCCAAGCAGATTGGGGCATCCTGGCTCCACGGCTCCGCCCACTTACTTCTGTTTAAGCCAATTTAAGCTTGCGGGTCGAACTCGTTGTACGCCAAATCCAGGCGCTTGATGCGCATGGAGGACTTCAGATTCTCAAGGCTGCCGCTGAGCTGGTTGTGCGACCTGGCCACATTCAGGCAAAACCACTGTGCTGGCGTGAGCCTTACGAACGCAAGGACAAAAAAAAGATTGCTTGACATCTCAGCCGGTGAAGCCCAACCCATCCAACACCCTTCCCCAACCCCTTCCCGGAGCAATAGCAAATGACTGTCGAAAGCCAAACACCTACATGTCGAACCCGAATATGGGACAATGCCGGAGCCCAAGGCACAGAATCAGCACCTCCAGGGAGGGAAGAAGACCCAAGCTCGGCCTGGGCTGCCGTTGTGAAAAAACAAGTACGCCTTTCGAACTACCTCTTTATAGTTGTTTTTTGCCGATTTGCCTTTATTTCCTACTTCTGCCCTGAAGCTCAGCTGCAAGCACTTTAAAGCATCCTGCAAGAGAAAGTTTGCAGCGCAGCCCTTAAGGGGCAGATGTCCGGTTTGACTGGTGGCGTCTCCATCATCCTCAGAGAATGCCTACCCTACTCGGGCCTCCACCTCCCTGAAAACAAAGCATTGCTGGACATGCTAGGCAGCATGAGCTTGAGCAGGTTGTACGCCAGGTTCCTCAAACAAATCACAAAACTTGCTCAGACGATCTGGTGCAGCTGATTAGGGCGTGTGCGGCAGACAGCTGTGCCGTTGAAAAAATCAGACACAAATGAATGCTGGTTGCCCCTTGTTCCGCCATGCGGTTGGGATTGGGAACACCAAATTAACCTTCAGCTGCAGCAGTAGCATTGCAGCCCCGGCTCAGTTCGATCAAGTTCGGCAGGTTCAGTGAAATGCGAGACAGTCGGTTCTTCCTTGCCTTGGTATGCCGATAAAAGCGTCATGGTAACCTGGCAACCCTGCACCAGTGTGGCTGGACATCTATGCTAAACAAGCAGAGCGGCCATGATGGTGTGTAACGAATCGAAACCGTTGGTTTTGTTCAACACGGAGATATCCATCAAGTGATTGTTGGAAACCTAGGTTGCCGAAATGTCTTCATGCGCATTTCTCTCATGCTGATGGTACCGTGGGCCACATCTGTGACAAGAGCAGCTTTACAGGCAGCATCGGACAGATGATTGCCAAGTTCGTGACGAACGCAAGCGCATCTGGTGCAGCACGCGGAGCTGTCAGGTCTTGGAGAGTATGAACAAAAGCCCGCGGCTGCAACCGGACAGAAACGCTGCTAAAGCCATCTTGGGAGCATCCACCAGCTGGACCCGGTGCTTGCGCAGCTGAGGGTGAAGGAGACCCCCCGACGGGCCCTCCAGAGTATCCAGCTGGTAACGATCGCCTTTCAGACATCTCCATCGAGGATGCTGCCCACTGGGGATTGTAGCAGGTAGCATCGAGATACCAGTACAGCCAAGCACGGATCTCAGACCGGGACTGCTGAAGTCAATCTTCGTGGGATGCTGCCTTGCGCATAAGCGGGAAGATCAAGCGGCAAGGCTCGCCCATGACTCATCGCAAAGCAGGATGTTGCAGCCACAGCGCTGCTTCCAGCCGGGCCCCAGCACGTTCGCGAAGTCCTCGTCTTTCAGGGACGTCACCTTGGCACAGCCGGCACATCGGCGCTTTCATTTCAGACTAAGGGTGTGAGTAGGACCTGGGCTTGGATTGGGAAGTTTTCAGGTTGTATCGCCTCTGACGACTCTGCCTCTTAACGGCAGCTCGGACACATGGATACTCCGCTCGAAGATCTCGTCCAGCTCCCGCTTCCACTGCAGGCAGGGGAGGGATTGATCGAGCAGGCAAGGACGCTTCCTAGAATATCTATCGTCCGAAACTTGACCATCTTATGTCCGGCCGAACCCGGAAATTCGAGCGGGTGCACCAGTAGTTGCCAGGACGCTTGACAGCCTACAACTCCCTGTCTAAGTCTACTGCTCGTTCCTGCAGCAACGGGGTACTTCCCTCTTAAGTTTCGAACATGGCATGCAGTCCTTTGCTTTCTCGAGCTCTGCCAGCTGCTCTTTGGACGGCCTGACCGGAAAAGTTGCTCTTGCGTTTAAGAAGACCGACACCTTCAGCAACTGACGCGTTGCATTCGAGTCCGCTGGCCTCTGTGCGGCAAGGCTAAGCCGCATGCTTCCCTGAGACCATACATCCGTTCGGCACACTCTGGAGACTCCTGTCCAAGACCCCGACCCGTCGGCCGCGCACAGGGCTTTCCTCCATTGCGCATGAGGGCCATGCAGCTTCACCTTTCCAAGCAAGGTTGTCTTCGCGTCGGCAGCGCGGTTGTGCAAATGCAGCGCGCACTGCGTTGAACGCGGCTTCCTCAAGGGTTCAGAACGTCTTGCCTCCGAGTACTCGGAAAGTGGGCTGCGGCGCACCCCGCGTGGGACTTGAGCCCAAGATACATCAGACAAAGTCAGGAATAAATTTGTTGGTAAGGTGATTGCATGTAACTCGAATCCTTGCGCCAGGTCTGCTTGTCATCCCCTTGTGGAAGAAGCAAACCATTCCGAAAGTCTGACATGCCATAACCCCTGCACGTTGCTCGATCCGAGCTTCACAGTCCGGGTGCAAAGACAAGCTGGACTCCCAGCGCACAACAACCTCCCCTGACTGCTGCTAAGTTACTATTATGCGCCTGGAGCCTCATCGGCCTGTCGCACCCCTGAGCAGGGCCTTGTCTGCTCGCTTAGACCCGTCACATTCAACTGCGGGGTGCCATAGACCTGCAAACGAAGCCGATACACGCTTCTTGCTGCAGCACATGATGCAAGGCTGACCATGCAAAGACCAAACAGCCGTTGGGGATCAGACTTTGTTTTGCCTCCTGAATTGCTGATCAGACGTTTACGTTCTATGGCCTCGCCTCAAATGATTAGACGCTCAAGTTTGCTGGTGTTGCAATGACGACGAGCATAACTACCAGTACTACTAGTACTAGTACTAGTACCAGTACTGCAACTACTGTTCCTGCTACTGCTACTACTACTACTACTACGACTACGACGACGACGACTATCTACTACTACTACTACTACTACTACTACTACTACTACTACTACTACTACTACTACTACTACTACTACTACTACTACGACAACTACGACGACTACTACTTCTACTACTACTGCCACTACCACTACCACTACCACTACCACTACTACTACTACTACGACGACGACTACTATGAAAAGAAAACGGGCGATAATGAAGAAAACAGTCGATGTAATGACGCAAACTATTTCAAGTATTACTAAAGCACCAATAAGAAACAGTAGAAAAAAGTAACAGTAAATATGTTAAAGACAAGCGTAGTGGCAATGATGATAACAGCAATAATGCCGCAGGTGCTGCTGCTTGTTGCGACGACCAAGAGGAGAACGGCGACAACAACACCACCAGTGTTGCTGCTTCTGCCGCTGCTGCTATTAATCGTGCTGAGACAATCTTTGGAACAGACCATCATTTCCAGCGGATTGAGTCGGATGTCTGAGAAGGTGCTGCCAACTCTAAGCGTACGTATTAGAAGCAGCCAAGCAACCCAAACATGACAGCTTGTCCAAGCTGAGTGAAGCATGTCTGACTTGGCGCCTCTTCACTGAGGCTGGTGCTGTGATCCCTTGCAGGTCTTCCCGAAACTCCACGGGCACCGTCTCCGAAGCCTCCTCCTTGCTAGACAAAAAGAATCTCAATGCTCTGGGCACGGTTCATGAATATATGTGGTGCAAGAGCCCGAAAGCCAGAACGCCTTGACTGCCGTTGCATGACACTTTGGGAGAACACTTCTACGCCTGGCCGGCCAGGGCTGGGCGCCACCGGCAGAAGACCTGTGGTGACAATTCCGCAAACTCCGGCGGGCGAATCTCGGCATGCTACAGGATCCAGGAGGGCAGCCGAAGCTTTGATCCATCTTCTGGACATGCCGACGCCTGTTTTCGTAACAGTGCAATGGACAGCACAGTAGAGATTGACCCTGCGAAAGCAGCTTGGGGGTTCTATCCTGAGACTCACAGTTTCCCTGCAAAAGCCAACTTGCATTGAGCTTTGCTGCCAGTTTAGCAGGACGACAGACGCGCACAGAGAATGCGGCTTTTGTCGGTGTGGGCTTGGAGAGAGGGGCTCCAGCAGGGATGCAAAGCAGCGGCCAGGCTGAGAACCAGACCCGCACATTGCCCTTGAGGCTGAGGATCTCCTGGGATGCAGGACATCTGCATACTGCCATACGTCAAGTGTTGCCGAACTGACCGTTCTAATCATCGCAAGTTCTCGGTCGGATCGAGCAGATTTTGGACCAACACTATGCCCCAAGTTCGTACAGCAAAGTACCCATTGCCCTTTTGGGCTGCCTTCGGGTTGGGGATGCCAGAAATAAGAAAAAAAGTGTCGACCAGTTCGGGTACTGAATATGGCTCTGCTAAGAGAGATGCCAACAGAGCTGAATGATGTGGCTGGGATGTGCAACATTGCGTGACGAAGTGTCGCAGTTTTGGGACTATCATCCGAGCTTAGCATCTCAGACTTGGCCCCGGACGTTGTTCATGCGTCGCAGGAGGTCCCCACACTCCGCCAGCAGGGAGGTCCGGCGCTGGCATCACTATCACATGTTGGGCAAGGGAAGAGATCACCCCATGCCACAAAGCCAGTAAGCTGCCTGTACGGTTCTAGCAGATTCTGTTCTAGCACTGAAGGCAAGACCCAAGATACTCTGAGGCCGGTGTGAGGGGTTTAGTGATCTGCCTTTCGTACAATGAAGTACCATCGCTGAGCATACTGGACATCAAGTCGGGCCTTCATGCCGGTTCTAGCAACCAGCATCGGGCAAGACGTACATATACACAGGGATCTACAGAAGAGTTTGCAGGTGGGAGCTGGAGGCACCCGGAGGAAAAGCGCTTCAGGCTCTCGCTGGCCTATGCTGGGAGTCTGGGGGAGTTCTCGTGGTGCCTGCGGCCCCCCCGCGCAACTGCCGATAATCAGCATGTGTCAGCTGGAAAGCTTCACTGCGAACGGAGGCATTTTGCTCCAAAGCTCCTGACCTGGGCCGAACAGGACCGACCACAGATAAACAAAAAGCATTGTGCAGAACACATGCACAAACGAGCAAGGATGAAAAAGCGGCTGACTAAGGAAGGCCACGATGGACTCGCGAGGTGCATGATGAGACTGATGCGCCTCGCGCAGCTATTGCTTGCATGGCGACAGCTTCGATGAGCCTCTGGGATATGCCAGAATACTTATGTCGGTGCCCATTGTCCTTCACCATGGAAAAGATGATGAAGAGAACGAGGCAAATCACGATCTCAGCTTGCGAAGGCTCCCCATGGAAAGTGAGGCGGCAGAACTTGAAGCCGTCTGAAAGATTTAGCAAGGCCAGAATAGTCCAAATACTCAACTCAAGCCAACAGAATTTTTAGATTACTAGTGTACGTGACATTCTCGCCAAGGAGCCAGGATCAGGATCAGGGCCGTCCAGCGCCATCTGCAAGCACTGCGAGCTCGGCTGGCCTCACGGCACTCTGGCGGCCCATGGCCAAAGGGGTCGAGCAAGTGGTGATGGCATCAATTGATCGTAGCCTGTAGAAGCACCTCGTGTCCCCGCTTGACCTGCTCCTGACAAGATATTGCAGCCCTGCGTGCTGATGAACTTTGGAAACGAAGGACCGAAGCAGAAGAGCTGAGGCATGCACGCGTGTTGACGCCACATGGCTTCTGAGTAAACACGAGCGATGGCAGCAATCTGGACTCTGCACCACGGCTGGATTCACATCTCAGTGCTTGGCCCGATGTCATTCAGGATTTCTCCTTGGGAGTTCACCAGGGACTCGACGTCCACGAAGACCTCTCGACTACAGGGCGCAACACGCGAAGCTAGGGAGAAGGTCATCGCCAAAGCCTGACTTAAGTCGCGAGTCGGCACACACACAGCCATGACTCGGTTTCTGCAGCTTTGATGGCGATCAGGCACCTGCCACACCCCAGTAAGAGTCAAAGCTCCGCCTGACTCAGATCTCGCGCGGCACGCGCAAGGTTGGCCAGCTCATCGCCTGGTCTTGGTTTTACGAACGCCGAGTTTATACTTTCGGCTATACGAATCTTCCATGCACGGTGGGTCTCCTACTGCAGGATCTGAGGGACAGGCACTTCTCACGGGTAGCCTGCAGCGCGCTGGCTGTTGTCAAGGGGGCGGTGCCTCTTCAAACGGAACGCTTGGAGACGCCATGCAAGCAAACGTGAACCAAGTGGTGACGATTTCCTGCCTGACTGGCGCAAGATGGCATCTTGGATCGTCGAGGCTGCGGAGGCACGGCCTCGAGGGCAACTGTTTTTGCGAAAGCTAGCTCTGGAGAGCCACGAGAGAGCGAGAGAGAGACAGAGAGAGAGAGAGAGACAAGAGGAAAAGGAAAGAGAGAGGGAGAGAGAGGGAGAGAGAGAGAGAGAGAGAGCTGGGGGGGAGCGAGAGGGGGAGGGCGGTAGAGACATCAATCTTCTTCATAGAAGAGAATGTGAGCAGTTGGGGCTCAGAGGCTAATCAAGGAAGCCACGCAGCCTGCAGCCACAGCTTCGACGACCTGAATGCATTTGTCCACAGCCTACTGCTTTGGGATTGTTGTGGGGGTATGACAAGCACAGGTTTCAGACCACGAACCAAGAATCTGCTGCCAGAACGCCGTATCATCCGCTTCCGGAAAAGCTGCACGGAGCTGTCGAGAAACTTTATCCTACCCAAACTCTATTCACACGCAGTAGCAAGCTTCGGAAACATCTGTGGAGCAAGTAGTCCGTCGCAAAAAAGCAACCCTACTCGTAAACAGCAGCTGTTCCCAGTCCTCCATTTCTTGCCGGAATCTCATCTGTGCCTGGAAATATGAATTCAACGCGTTCCTGAGCCAGGCATTGCCAAACACCAACAATGCCAGAACGAGCCATCCAGAATTAAGCAAGGCTCTGAAAGAGGACCGACACCCCTGCAAAAGCTTGTCGTCGTAGGGCGGCCTGACACATACAAAACTTGAGGCTCCTGGATGAGCATGAAACAGCACAAAACCCCACTTACTCCGGACCTAGGCACAAGCCTATATAAAGGTTCAGCCAGACTGCCCCAATCTTTCGGTGAGAGTTAACGATTCTGCGTGATTCTGCTACATGCATCTGTCTGCAGGCCCTTCCAGCTCTGAGCCCTGAGGCTCAACGTTTGCGGCAACACACGCCCGTTCATGTCCGCGCGGCCGTGATGGCGGTGGTGATGGTGGCAGGAACTCTTGCTGTTGGCTTCGCTATTTCCGTTGCTGTCCCTGCTGGCTTGTGACACCGCGGTCATCATCATCATCATCGGCAGCAGCAGCAGCATCACCATCACCACCATTGGCAGTAGCATCAGAATGGCCGTCATTAACATCATCATCGCGATCACTACCACCACCACCACCACCACCACCACCACCACCACCACCGCCACCGCCACCACCACCACCACCACCATCACCATCAACAAGGACTACATCAGCATCATCATCGTCATCATCATCATCATCATCGTCATCATCATCTTCATCATCGTCGTCGTCCCATGTTTCGTGATATTAGCTGAATGTGCCGGCACAGTTGTGATTGCGATTTAGTGTTGTCGTTCTCAGTTTTCTTAGACTTACCTTTTGGAAGAAACACAAAGCCGGCGCCACGTCGAAACAACGTGCTCCAGCCGTTCTCTTGTTCTGTGTCGGGGGACAACCTCTGAGGCGTTGTTGCTCCTCGTGCTGGTGCTGGTGCTGGCACTGTGCTGTGCTGCCGCTGCCACTGCCGCTGCTAGTGCTGTTGCTGGTTCTGGTGCTGTTTTGTTCATGTAGCTATGATGCCACGGATCTGTGGTACAAGAACCCACTGTGCCAGAACCGTGGCCTCCACCTCAGCTCGGCCTCAAAGACTGAGTAAAAACCCTACGATGCCCCCGCTTTTCGGGCAAGAGCGAGGTCGGCTTCTTATTCAGGGCGGTGTGGCTGTCGCCTTGCTTGAATCGACAACCCCGGAACAAGAACCTTAGGGCCCAGGACCGGACCTAGGATTACTAAGGCTGTTCTTCTTTACGATGTTGAAAGCTTGAGATGAGTGGAGTCGGGCATCGATTTCCTCTGCCTTCTCAATGGAGATAAGGGGTAGTTTGAGCACCCAAGGTGTGTGAGTTAAAATCCCCCCTGCGGCCACTTACTACTGCTACTCCAGTACACATCGGGTTTAAAGACTGTGACTGCGGTTTAAAGACTGTGTTCGCACTGCAAGCCGCAACAGTTGTGCCGCTGCAGAAGCCCCCTTGTTGAAAGCAGTCAGATGCCTCCGAGCCAGTGGCACCAGGCTCCGGAGCCATGGACTTGAGCTCGCTGCACGTCCTCTGCAAAAATAGATTGAGGAGGCTCTTCGGTCGGTCTCATGAGCAGGAGATATCTACTCTATACTCTGCTGCCTGCCTGTGCTGATCCGCTCTAGCCAAGACCGGACATCTCGCTTCTTCAATCCGATATCGTGACGATTAACTGTCATCGGAAAATCCTGGACGCTGCAGCTGAAGCCCGCTCGGCGCAGGCTTCGGCCTTCAGCAGCGCCTTTGTGCATGGCTCCACTGAAAGGCGCCACGTGCAGGTCATGGTTGGGAAAACGGTCCGGAAAACATTAAGCTGATTGTCTCGGTTACATGCAGAGACCAGGGCCCCGGCATCTTTCTCTCCTTTGGCGGTCGTCGCGCTCAAGGCTGCAAGATGAAGCGTCTGAGCCTCTGCGAGGGAACCTGCGTGCCATTTAGGTCTACGTCTACACATCCACCGCGGCCACCGTGAGAGAGAGAATTTTAGTCGTCGCCTTCCAGCTCCTGGAGCGGCCCGAGCCGGACGGACTCCAACTTCGCCAGGAAAGCCTGCAATGGATCACCTCAGGTGCAAGAAGCCGCTGCCCGAAGAAACGCTGAGGCTTTGGTGGCAGTTGACGTGTGCACCTGCGTCGCTCGCGCGACTCCGCAACAGCGAGCCGGAGCTGGAAACCGAGTAGGGCTGGAATGGCTGGATCCTGGGCGACAAAGCAACGTGGCTGGACATGCATACTGCAAGTTACTGCGATGCTGCGCAGCACAGCTCGCATGCCACCATATGCAGCCGTCGGCGCTGAGGTGTGGGTGGTGGCGATGCCTGCACTGGAACTTTCAATGGGCGTCTTGCCGAACATTCACTCCATCCTCTTTCAATGACAAGACACTCTCATGATCAAGGATCCTACTCCTACTCCGACTACGATTGCAAATCCTTTTGCTGCTGCTACTGCGACTGCTGCTCCCACTCCTACTGCTACTGCAACTTTTCTTGCTCTGCCATTACTGCTTTCAGAACCCTACAAGGTATCTGCCTATACCGCTTATACCCACTCTTTTGCCATGGCTTGTGAAATCCGTCCTGGCCTCCGGCGATCGCAGCAGACTCGGCGAAGCTGCGCCGGAGGAGCGCCGCGTGCGGCCACGAGCCGCAGCCGCGGCCGCAGATCGCAGATCGTCCAGGCGGTCGATCATCAGGTTAGCGGAGTACAAAGGTGTGACTTGTTGCGGGTGTTCGACCTGTTCATCAGTTCTCGAGGCAAGGGCTCAACCTTAACCTCTGGCATCAGTCATTGCGTCAAGGTGGCGGTGTGTTCCTTCTGCCTCCGTGATGCTGCAATGTCGGACAACACTTGCGAACCACACTCCGTTCAGCCATAGTGTAGCAAATCGGAATGTGGCAGTTACCGTTGCATGAGGTAGTGGTCCATCTTCCTAGTGCCCTGTGACAGAAGTAACAGATCCAAACACTGCCGAATGCGTTCAGAGGGAGCAGCATCGCAGCCCTCAGAAAACATGCAAAACGAGGAGAGATACTGTTCGTCCTTCCATTCTGTCTGTCGGCAGAAACAAACCCTGGAGTAGCAGCCACTTCCCCAAGCTCGATGCTGAGGCCTGGAAGTCTGCACGGTTGTTGGCCAAGACGCGACGCAAGTTCTGCAAGAGTGTGCAGATCAACGTCGCTTCGGTGAGAGTCTGTTTGGTGGTTCCTACAAATATGACACCGCTAAGCAGGTTTTACCGGTTGAAGGACACAGGACAAACTCGTTCAGAAATAGAAGTCTCGGAAATGTGAGGCCGAGTCTGCATGGGGTACGGGCCAGAAACTAGTTCTGCCCGCGGTCCGTTTGAGTCACTGGGAACTCCATGGATTCCACCTCCTCGCGGCGTCGAAGCGCCCCACGGCCTGCACTGGCCGTGCCACAGGCTGCCTGCAGCATAAATTACTTTGAAGGTCGGGACCTGACTCGAACTTCGACGCCAGTTGATTCAAAAATTCGTGCTAGACATGATCTGCGCCATAGTTGTGACGGTCTTAACACCCATGTCACGCATGTCGTGGTCACTCCGACGATTCATCCATGCAGGACGTTGTTACGGCTGTTCGCACGACGAAGCTGTGTCGTAAGAGCACTTTCTCCCTGCGTTTGATGCCCTCAAAGCAATTTTTCGCCATGGCGGCTCCTCGCCGCAACATTTCAAGGGCAGTAGGCTTCTGGTGGCCTCAACTTGCTCAAGCCAGGCCGAGCCCGTGCCCTCAATCCCGACCCAGTGACATCTCCCAGCCTCGAGATTCGCAAGCTTGCCTCTGCAGGCATGGCTGCACAACAAGAAACAGAAGAAGGCTGGCGGTTCTTCTGTGGTGTGGCTTTTGCGACAGGGGGCTTGTCTCGAGCCCACACAACTTTGTGTGCTGCACAAGACGAATACAAACACTGGATAACCCACAACCAAGCTATAACCACAAACAGCCAACAAGCAATAACCAACAACCAACAAATAGCCAGAAACACCCACCAAAAACCGACAGCAATCGCAAGCAACAAGCAATATTTATGAATGCCGCCTTCTGCATCTCAGTCCATCTCTCTCCCAAGATAAGGTCACCAACATCCACAAAACACACATGGCAACACAGCAGGGTAGACCCGTGTCCAGCCTTCTAGCTTCGTTAGAGCCTCTTGGTTGCGCGTGACGACGCCGCGTAGGTCACGCGTCTGCTGATCCTCCTGCAGCAGACAGGCTCTTAGATTTCAGTCAAGGGCATCAGAAACAACAGAGGCATCGTCTGAAGACCTAAGCAAGAGGCTACTGTCTGGATCGCAGCATGTCCCCTTTGTCCTAATTTCTTGCCTGGTTTCCTCATGCTCTCCTGCTCATCTTCCCGGAAGGAGGCTAAGAAGGATTCTGCTCTTTAGATCTGAATGTAGTCTTTACTGATCCCCCGAGCCCTTCCCTTCCATAGCTCGAAGGTGCATCTCGGTGCCTCTGCAAGGGCGACCTTGGCCTCTTCGAGGCCATCGGCTGCAGCCTGAAGGCTTGGGCTTGGGGCGGGTGCTACAAGTATGTGAAAAAGATTTCCCCGGGAGTCTCAGGGATTGGCAGTTGCGGACTCGCCCAGCGATTGCAGCCGTTCAGGGTGGCCTGCAGGCAAAGCTGAGAAGTTTTGTCGGCACCTACATCGGCCAGCAGTGGGTGTAGAAAGCAGCACCACCAGACTCCAGGCTTGTGGCTGCCGGTGGAGGGGGCATTGGCATGATTCCGGCCCGGCTGTGAACCCACTTCTCGTCTTCGGGGTCTTGACAAGGCCATGCGAGAACTATGATAAGCCTCAGGCAATGCTGCAGTAGTCAGTGGCCCATAAGAACCAAGCATGACAATGCCTGGTGCACCGGGTACCCCAAGCAGTCAGCCCGGCTAGTTAACGGAGCTGTTTGCGTTCGATCGACGGCTTTCGGAAAGAACCCGGGGCAGCGTTTTGTCACGACCTGCACCATTTGATGTTGGCTTCGGTCCGCAGAAACCTCAGGTTACCCCGACTCGGCCACACCTCCGGCAGGTGAAACATTGTGCCGCACAAATCTGCGCTTGCCGCTTCCGCAGCACATGCTCAAGCGCACTCTGTTCATCTCGCGCCGTGCTCAGCCTCTGAGCGGCGGCTCGAAGTGAAGCTCTGGAGACTCATTCGGCCACGAATCCATGGTGTCAACATCCTTGGCCAGCTGATGTGCAATGCACTCACGGTAAACATGACAGTAGAGCTGATACACATAAAAGCAACTTACGGCGAGCTGCCAAGCTTTGCGGGCCTGTGGCGTTGATGCCGCTGTTCACATGAACGTCCCGACTCGCCAGCAGGTTTCCTGAGGTGTACATAGCCGAGCTCACGTGGTAAGCTACTGGCCCGGTACTTCGCTGTCAGAACCAGCCCTTTAAAGATCAGCCAATTGCCGACGTACACATGTCATATTGGAATGAAGCACTTCTCGTAGACTCCGCAGTTTCCCAACATGGAACACCGGAAAAGGCAGACCATAAATGCCATCCAGGATGTGAACTACCACTGTTCCTAATCAGAAGTGCGGCGAGAGTGCTGGCATTTCTGGTGTCGACTTTGCAATACTTCAAGTCAGAATACCTGCAGCACATGTTTTTCGCGAGTCTGGCGTGCCTGTATGGCACATCGATGGATTATGCAGAAGCATCATAGTAACTACAAGTGCAGGATGCAAAGTATCGATGGGAATTGCGGCCACGTCCTGTTCCAACGAGGAGTTCCTCGGTTCCGGATTGGTTTGATGCGTTCCTGCGGCCTTGCACAGCTCCGCCAAGTGGCCAGAGGAAAAAAGGCATGAGGAACTGGTCGCGCTGGATGGTGCGACATTGCTCTAGCACCTGCCTGCAAGCTTCAGAGGTGGAAGCTCGAAAACTAGCGACATCCTGAGAGGAGCCGGTCCCCGAAGATGCAGATAGTCAAGGTGCCGGAATGTGTCCTTGATCTCGTCGGCCCTTGCATGCGCCTCATCACGAAACATTACATTTTTTGCTTGGGAGCTGGAAAGGGCATCTAGACAAACATGGCTTCAGGGCCTTACATACTTCGTTGTTGCACCATCTGCTGTGGGCCAAGAGGCAACATTGCGGAACATCACGCTCAGCTCGTAGTAATCAGCTGGGACAAAAGGGTGCCTTGTGTGACCAACGTGACGGGCTGCATTTTCGAACCCTTCTTGATGCATCCGTCGTCGTGCAGCTAAAGGACCCGGACACAGTCTGAAAGGTGGGGCTACTGATTTTAAAATCTCCCTGCAAGCTCTGACCCAGTGCAAGCAAAGAGCTTCGGGTCCTCGTGGAGTTTCTTCAGCTGCTCCTTCCACTTCACGATGCGCTCGTAAGAGGTCTCCACATACTCCTTCCTTACTTATTGCCCTCAGGGCAGAAAGCGACAAGGAGACCTGACTGTGACAGCTACACTTGGACTCTGCGTGCACCTAAGCTTCCGATTTTGGAGCATGTCCTCACACTCCCACAAGAAGCAGTCCCAGGGTTGGCATTCCTTCCAATACCACTTCAGGAGGACCAGCGATTTGTCGCTGTATCTGTCCAGCAGCGGCCGCAACTTCGCCATGTCCATGGAGATGTCGCCATCAAACTCAACCAGCCAGTCCTAAGCATTCAATGCTCATGACACTCTGATCTCCGACTGCCGTGGAACCCTTGCTAGACTTGAAAAGCGAAACGAACCACCAGACACCACCGCAGCTGTTGCACACCAAGCCTCCCATGTGCCGTTTAAGAGCCATGATGGCGGCGTGAACTTCAAAGACTTTGCAGCGAAGCGGGCCTCACTTGGCTTTACATGCAGCCTTGTCCGCCCTGATGCACAGAATCACCTCTGTATATGATCGGATTGTTGACGCTCACTCTCGGTTGGCACATAGGGCCATCATACCGGCTCAAGGTTGACGCGGCAACTGCAAACCTAGCTGCCCACTGCGGCAAAGCAGCCTTAGGAACCTCGCTGGTGCCTTCCATTGTGGGCAGCATGGTGAGGATCCACCTCAACTACTTAGGTCCAAGGTTCAATCAGCCCGGCAAGCGTGGGGAGAACATATCACGGGATCTGCGCGGCCAAGAAGCCAGCCATGCTTTCGCCAAAGGTCCAGCTTCTCGCTGCTGGCCGATGTCCTGTGTTCAATCTCAAATCCCAAGCCATGAACCCGGACCAAAAGCATCTCTGTCACTCAAACTGTCGATGTGGATGTACTTCCTCCAGGTTCTATCTGTCTCTAGTCTTCCGTGCTCAGGCTCCGATGGCCAGTGCCATCATCACCAAGGTTACCATATAAACACCATGTTGTGTATCGGATGTGACGAAGACCTTCGTTCAGCTGGAGCATTTGACAGGTACAGCCAGAACCTAAGACCAATCATTTACCGTTATTAGCCAACCCAGGAACCCGTTCCCCAAGTTGTCGTAGAAACGCAGCGGGACATGGGCCCACAACTATTTCAAAGACCCCAGCTTGGTGAACCAGGGCATTTTTGTCAACACATAAATTCTACAGAGACGCAGCGACTCAATTATCCATGGTCCAACCCAGCACCTAACATCCTGGCCCTATACCACAAAATAAAGAAGTGATCTGACCCTGCTTGACCATTACGGCATCACGCAGTTTCGTGTAGGTTGAGGGATGAGAAGCAGAGTCAAGCATCCTGTGTCTATGACTATGCGCAGCCAGTGCAACGCACTACCTGCTAGCTATGTTCGCAAGACCGCAATGACCTTGATGTACGGCTCGCCTGGTCACATCATCCAAAATGAAGAAAGCGTCCACACCGCTTGGCACGCATGGCCTTGGTCCGTTTTTGGGTGGCTAGTTGTTGCTGGCATGTGCTGGTGCAGCCTGTATCCCTCCGTGCGCCAGGCTTCCCCAAAGACTCAGTGTCTGAGGTGAGAAGCTGGGCTCGAGGCACGTTGAAATCCCGGATGTCTTCATATGCTCCCGTAACCTTGGATGGCTTCGTGGAGATGGCTGAACTTCGCCGACTGAGATCGACAGAGCTCTACACCTCAAGCTGAGCCTGCTCAGGATTACCTCACCTGTGGGAGTAATGATGGTACGACCAACCTTCTCGACTTGAGTGCTCTTCACGGCTTGGTGCACATGCACTCCCACGGTCGTTCCGGGGGGTCGGATCGGAGTTGGTGCCCGGCAGCATATGTGTAGACGGCGATTCGCTTTGCAGGGTCTCCAGAGTCCGATCTTTCCTGGCACTCGTCCGACCTCCGTTGACAAAACATGCGCTACCTGCGCTCGTCAGTGAGAGCAGCCTCGAAACAATCTCCCGAGGTACGAGGTGCTTTCTCAACAACTCGTGCAGACGGGGCCATGAAACCCACAGGTTTTCAGAGCTGCCTCTGTTGGCAGGTGTCCACTTTGTTCAAGACGAGAGAGGAGCCATTGTCCAACCTGGGCTTCGAAACAAGCAATGATCGGATATTACATCCTAAGGTCCGAAGGTTGCCTGCACGTGCTATGCCAGAGGGTAAGAAGCACGGCTCATCCCTGCGACGGGGCGGCTCTGGTGCCAACTTTCCCGGCGGTTGCATCTCGATCATGCCCCCAGACCTGCAGCTTACGATGGGTGCTCTAAGTTCCTTCACATGCCGAAAGAAGATGGTGGCACAGCAACAAATCGAGCCTCCTCCAAACCATAGATCCCGCCCGCCCCACGCCCACCCCCTAATACTCATCCGAGTGACGCAACCTCTGCTCTGCGGACGATTGTTGATGCAGAGGCCTTGGATGCATGCCGGGGCTTGAGCTTGAATCCCTTTCCCGCCAAAGTTAGCTCAGGGGCAACCCCGACGAAGCTGAGCACCAACAGGGCCAACGGCACCAACGGCACCATGATCACCTCCCGATCACCTCGATTGCATCGGAAACTCTTTCCTCCGACTGGCCGGGACCCTGACTGACAACACGTGCCGTGAAAGTTCAGGGAAGTATTCATATTCATGCCTCCTGCCGCACAAGAAGTTCTTTAATCCAATCCGAGCGTGATTCGAGCCAAAATTAGAACCGAGTGGCCGGTCTGCATAGCGCATGGAGCTATGGGCCAGTGGACAAGGCTTCCACGGAGTTGCACACGGCGAAGGCGAAGAGACTTCCAACCGTCTCCCTTCCGGAGTTGTACCGGCTTCGACTATGGAAACACACTGTGCGCAAACAACGCTCTGAGCCAAATGGCTTTTGGCATCTGAAGTCGGCGTCGCCCACGACCATGATTTTCTTAGAATTGGCCATGGACTTGTATGCAGCAGGAAGCATGGCAGGCCAGCCTGCAGTGGCTTCCTTCAGCTCCTGTCGGCACCAGGCTGTTCCGCGAAATACCATTCACCACATATTGATACAGCACAAACTGCTGAAGGCATGAGTCAGAAGAATCCAACATGAAGCTTCCTGCTGCAAACTGCGCAGCAACATCAACATCAACATTGCTACTGTGGCCAGGCAAAGTGTGTTGAACTTCTTGCTGCGCGACCCGCACAGTGCCTGCGACAGGCCTGCGGATCGGAAGAGAACCTGTGGCCAGGCCAAAGTGCGCATCAACTCGGGGGTCCACAGGACTTGGCGGTTGCCCCTTGCCATGCCTCCGAATCTCAAGCAAAAGCTGAAACCGCTCTGCGCGCCTGCTCATGCCGCTGCCTTCTGCAACTCAATGCCCTCCTGAGCTCGGCCATGGCCTCGGGCAGAACTTCTCCACTCGCATGTGCTCCAACCAAAAGTGGTTTGCTCAAGTCTGTCAGAATACCTCGTGAGCCGCTTCTGCTCGGCGTTGCTGCTCCTCGTCAGGAATATGGGCAGCAACATCGCGAAAACTTGAGACGAGGCAGCTAGACCAGATGCATATGCAGGTGTCCTGCTATGTGTGAACTGAACATCAGCGCCAAGCCCTCACCCCCCAACCCGCTCCCAGAGCGCATTTGCCCAAGCTGCACGAGTACCTTGGTAGCGCAGGTGGCAAGCAGGATTTGCCTCGAGTTCGGTGCTTTTAATACGGCACTTCACCACTTCCGCTCGCAGATACTGCTTCTTCCTCTCGAGAATCGATCGGGGTGAAACGCGGGCGACATGGACGGGGTCCGTAGATCTGGCCTATCTACACAAGGATCATTCGACCCCTGGCCGCAATAAACCTGTTTGTCATGTCCTTGGGTTGATGCAGCAGAGTCATTTCTTATGAGAGCATCTGCTACAAAATCCTGTTTCGGTGGCTGCCATCATGTCGTTCCTTGTTTTAGCTTCCATGTCGAGGCCCATCTAAGCAGACCCTTCGCCGCCGTAGATTTCGTGCCGTAGAATGGCGTCCGCGCACTTCACGAGGTTGCCGCCCTGTGGCAGGGACGAGCCCCGGCTGTAGAGGAACCTGACACGCGGGAAAATGGTCGCTGGACTGCACTACAAGCGGCACTGCTCCAGTCTCAGCTGCGGAGCTGGTTCAAGCCGTCGGAGAGCAATCGCAGCGCTGTCTCGAAATGCACCCTCAGCCATATGGGGGCAAGAGGTTACCACAAGTACGTGGGACGACGGAGGAGCGAGCGTGTGGGAGCTTCATGAGATAGCACCAAGCAGCTTGTCGCCCGAACGGCCGTAGTGAAGAGGCCATTCGCCCGCGGCAGGCCTTTTGCCTCTCAGGTCATGCGTTTTGCTTGAGATGCGGTTTCTAAATTTCTAAAGCACAAAAGGTACCACAAAGCCCAGGGAACAAGAACAGCATTGGCCCTTGCTTGCCCTTGTCTCGTGGCGCAAATGCGCCCAAAAATGTGCTAGTTCGCACACCTGCCTAGTATGCATCACATCTAGGGCAAAGGTTACCGTCGACAACTGCGATTTGTCGCAACATCAAGTGAAAACCACAATGTACATGTAACAGAACGCGCGAACAGACAACAGATGAGAACCTTGCGAGACAGCTTGGACGATGGGCTCGTGCAATTCTGCCATCCTGGACACCTTTCTAAGCCACTAGCTTGAGACGTGAACGCATCAGCAAGGGGCGTTTCTGGTTTGAATATTTCTGCAACTCCAAGGCAGCAGCCCAGATATGCTCGCACCCCGCCAGAACGAGACATAGGATTCCAAGGCCACAGAGGCAAGTTCACGCAAAAAGGGCAAAGGCTCGTCCCAGGACTCTATCCTTACCTTCCAGAGACTCGTGCACGAGGCGGCTGTCTCGTGTGATCTTCGACTTGTAGCGATGCGTATATATGGTGTGTTGACTAGAATCGCCACGTTTGCGTCACGAGATCCAGATTCTCACACTTGAACTGTTGCACATGACCCCACGTGACTTCATGAGGATCCTTGCAAAGACCTGCTTCTCGTCTGCTTCGCTTCCCTACTCGTCGTCGATGTCACCTGGGGTTGGACTCTGTCCTTCTGACTGCTTGCTTGCATGCTCTTGTATTCGTTCTGGAACGTATGCAAGCCGCCAGCAAGCCCAGCTCAGTGCCGATTGGCATCGTATCCTATGAGGCCGGCGTCGGAAAACTCAAGTCTCCTTTCGCGGATTTTTGGTGAGCCGCCCGTATCATCATCATGACGACGAAGTAGTACACGAGGTGCAGTAATCTCAGCACGTGCTTTTGAAGAGAGACGCCGGTGCCCAGGACCCTCGCTCAGGACTGGAGGTCCCTTCCGACGCAATTCTGGGAATAGAGCTACAAGTAGGTGTGCCCCAGGGGCGGAATTTTGCTCCTTCTGGCATCTAGCTGCTCTAGCCCTGGAACCCGAACTTCTTGCCTCCACGGCCGAGGCCGAAGGCACCCCGCGATGGTGAGAGAACCTCGGGCGGCTCGTTCAGGTCCACCTGAGTTGAAACTTGTTGGTCTTGTCACCACCCAGCACCGAATTCACACCGGTACCCTCATCACTCTAAGCGGTGGATCCTGAATAGCCGCTGGTTCCATTTTCGCTTTCGCTTCGAACGATCTTGTTTATGCACAGGTCCACTGTAGGGTGGGAGACCTTTGCATGAAGGATTGCACCATGCAGTCTCGGAGGCACATGAATGAGACAGGTCAGACGTGGCCCAAGTGGACACGTTCCGAACACTAGCGCCTCAACAGCCTGGCATCAACAAGGTCGGCCGAGCTGATTACGGTATGTTGGATTCCCATCTAAATTGTATTGACTTTATTCCTACGAGCATGCTACTCGTGCACTTAAGGGGCAATCTTGATACAAATCGATACTAAGCTGGCTTACTGCGACTAACCACACCCATCGGCTCGGCATGCACGAACCGCAGCACATGTATCAGGGAGAGAGGCACTGCCGTGGCAGCCCTGGAAGACCTCACTGCAAGTGGCCTTATTCTAACGACGACAGGTGTCCGGGTCGAATAAAGGACTGCTATAATACCTCGATGCAACTGGAATTCGGCCCGGAGGAAAGCGGCAGCCCTACGGCCTTCCAGACACGAGCAGCTTGAAAATCAAGTTCAAAGGAGAGAGCTCAGCGCGCTGCCGCGACTCCTTCGAGTCGCGGTCCACGATCATGATCCCCGATCTCAAACAACAATGGCTGTTGCTGCCTTGGCCTTGGCCTTGACGATGGGATAGGACGGCTGATCCTTGATGCCGCACTCGCCGTCTTTGGGCACCCCGCGCTCAATTCGGACAAAGCCAGATTCTCCCCAATTTCCACCCCAAGAGTTCTTGACCTCACGGGTCACAGCAAGCATAACAAGCAACCAACTCAATTCAAAGCAAGCGAGGGTAGTATGCATTATGCACATGCCGCAACTACAGACGACACAGCGCCTTCCAGTAGTCCACGCCATTCTCGGTGCCATAGCCCACCACCAGCACACCATGATCCAGCTTCGGGCCACACTTCTTGGTCAAGATTCCCCCGCTGTAGAGCTGGAAAGCCATCTGGTCGGCTTCGATGGCAACAGACACAGGCTGCTCGGACACTGCTTCCATAAGGGCGTTTGTGTCCTGGGGAGTGACATCCTTGAATCCGACAATGGAGCCCTTCGGCACGGCAACCGTGCAATTCGTCTCCATGCAGGTTCCCTGCTTGGCCTGGTACGGATAGCTGTCCTCAGTACAGACATCGTACTTCTCCAAGTACTCAAAAGCCAGATCCATGGAGCCACCCTGGCAGCCCATGTTGCCATTCTTTGCACAGTCCACCAGCTGCTGTTCGCTCAAAGAGACGAGCTTGCCCGTGGCGATTTGCCATGCACCTTCCAAAGCTCCCGTCGTGGAGAAGGACCAGCACGAGCCGCATTTTCCCTGATCCTTCGGGTCAGTCACGGCGCCCTTGCTCACCCAGTCCACTGCAGAGGGCAATGTGGAGCCGCTGTACGGATCCCTGCCGAGGTAGGGCAACCCTGACCACGGCCGGCTCTCTTCCTTCATGCCGAAGTGACCGGCAGCAAACTCCTCCGGCTCCATGTCGGCAAACTCGTTGATGCCCAACTTGAAAGACTTGTCCTCGGCATTGTGTGCCTCGATGCGGGCGAAATTCTTGGCAAAGGTGGCGAAGCGAGCTGCCCTCTCGGCGGCCGTCGAGTAAGTCTTCTCAAACCGGTGGGTGAAGTGGGCGAAAGCTGCGGCTGCGTTCGTGGCTTCCTTGGCCTTGACGATGGGATAGGACGGCTGATCCTTGATGCCGCACTCGCCGTCTTTGGGCACCCCGCGCTCAATTCGGACAAAGCCAGATTCTCCCCAATTTCCACCCCAAGAGTTCTTGACCTCACGGGTCACAGCAAGCATAACAAGCAACCAACTCAATTCAAAGCAAGCGAGGGTAGTATGCATTATGCACATGCCGCAACTACAGACGACACAGCGCCTTCCAGTAGTCCACGCCATTCTCGGTGCCATAGCCCACCACCAGCACACCATGATCCAGCTTCGGGCCACACTTCTTGGTCAAGATTCCCCCGCTGTAGAGCTGGAAAGCCATCTGGTCGGCTTCGATGGCAACAGACACAGGCTGCTCGGACACTGCTTCCATAAGGGCGTTTGTGTCCTGGGGAGTGACATCCTTGAATCCGACAATGGAGCCCTTCGGCACGGCAACCGTGCAATTCGTCTCCATGCAGGTTCCCTGCTTGGCCTGGTACGGATAGCTGTCCTCAGTACAGACATCGTACTTCTCCAAGTACTCAAAAGCCAGATCCATGGAGCCACCCTGGCAGCCCATGTTGCCATTCTTTGCACAGTCCACCAGCTGCTGTTCGCTCAAAGAGACGAGCTTGCCCGTGGCGATTTGCCATGCACCTTCCAAAGCTCCCGTCGTGGAGAAGGACCAGCACGAGCCGCATTTTCCCTGATCCTTCGGGTCAGTCACGGCGCCCTTGCTCACCCAGTCCACTGCAGAGGGCAATGTGGAGCCGCTGTACGGATCCCTGCCGAGGTAGGGCAACCCTGACCACGGCCGGCTCTCTTCCTTCATGCCGAAGTGACCGGCAGCAAACTCCTCCGGCTCCATGTCGGCAAACTCGTTGATGCCCAACTTGAAAGACTTGTCCTCGGCATTGTGTGCCTCGATGCGGGCGAAATTCTTGGCAAAGGTGGCGAAGCGAGCTGCCCTCTCGGCGGCCGTCGAGTAAGTCTTCTCAAACTTGGTGACGAACTCCTCGAACTCCTTCGCAACAGGAGAAACGTCAGCCTGTGTGCCAGTGAGGAAGGCGCCGGCGGCGACGATCCCAAAGCGCAAACCCTTCATGTTGAAAGCTGGAGGGAGTTGCCAGAATTCACAGTTCTATCCCTTGAAGTATTCCTCAGCCGAGACAGCCGGTGGTACGTGGACCATCAGAATCCCTCAAAATGCTTCCAATGCACTTCACCAAACTCATCGGCACCGAACCCGGTTACCCATGACAACTCCTGCAAGGCAGCACGTCGTCCCCATACCCGTGCTTCACAGTCCACAGAGACAAAAGAAGAGCCTCGTAACTGCAATAACTCGGTGCAACCTGTAAAGCTTGAAGGGCTCGTTCATCATAGAAAACATTGTACAGACCATACAGACTCCGGCACAGAGAGAGGGAGAGAGGACAACCGGCAGAACATGCAAGGTCGACAGTCACGCAGCCAAATCCACAATTTCACTCACCATAATTTAGAGCTGATTTTGGTTCGGTATTGGTGATAAAGCCAAGGCGTGGTTCTAAGTTCGATGAACATGCTTAAGAGGTGCCTTCCGTTGCTTGCTTATGCACGGGTAGATAGCGAAAGGTCGGAATTCCAGGCCCTTGCGCAGGTCCGGGCATAAACATCATCTCCCTCAACTCTCTGTATGAAAGAACTTCTATATGGTCCCTTGTTTCACATCCTGGCCAGGCCGCTACAGCACTTCGCGAGGAGCCAGGTCGGCGAATGGCAATGCTAAGCGGCACCTGGCGGCCAAGCAGAGGTTTTTTCCCCTCCTGCTGTCATCACTCCGACAACGGTTTATGCTCTCGCAACTCCGACAACGGTCTAGTCCTTTTCGCCCTGGACGGCGGCTCCTTTCGATTAGATTCGGCTGGAATGCCAGAAACAGTTGCAATGGTTTGCGTGGCATTAGCCGCATGTGGCATTAACCGCTGCAGCTACATTGCCAGCCGAAGAAACACCATGTCCTGCTCTTCGCAGTAGGGCTCCAGATGCGCAACCCTAGAACTGGCGGGAGGTTGAACCCTTTTGGCAAGGGCGTAAACGTGCGCTGGGTTTGATGCCACAGTTTTCCCTGGATATGAAACCCACCTCTTTGGGGGCCGGGCCCAACGGGCCTTCCGAAGGCGCCGACATTAAGTGGAAAGGAAAGAGACCCGGACCTCCATCAAAACAGCTCGAATTCAAGAATGCAAAAAGTTAAAAGGCCGGCTGCAACTCTGCGCAGCCGGCCTCTGCAACGAAATTCTGTGAGTCTGCTGCTGCAGCTCGCAGATCTCAGAAACAAAACATCACCACTTCCACGGCTCTACCCCCGCATTTTGGGCCGACCGAGCTCAGGCTCACGGCATTGGGTAGAGTAGCGAAGCTTAAAATGGAGGAAGAAAAAGGGAACAGCATAAGGGCCAAGCCCCTTAAGAACCAACGCTGTCAGGATTTGCGTCTTTTCTGCGTTGAGCTCCGGTAGTACAAACCAAGCTCAGACGGCATCCTCAGTCTGCTCGGGTGTTTCGCGCAAGTTGACATCACCGACGCAGCCTCCGCAAGGCGAGGAAGAAAAAAAGGCTTTCCAAAGTGTGTCCACTCTAACGAGCAAGAAGGACCGCAAGGACCACAAGGAGCAGTAGCAGAGTAGGAGTAACAACACCGATTTGACTCGCAGACATGTCGACGGCGCCTGCAAAAGGTCTTTTACCTAGCGATGAGTACACAATTCGAGACATCCGAGACTTTCATGGAGTTCGGCATGGCGGCCTTTGCTCACTGCTGTGCACATGACGGAGGGCGCGGCGATGGAGCCCATGATCAGGAACACGAGGGAGAGCGTCCGTGGGTTAATCTTGTCGGAGCCCACACAACCCTCCTCTGATGTGGCGGAGTACCTTGTCACACAGAGCCACAGACCACGCATGTCGTTGTTCGTGACCTAACTGCTAGATCTCTGCCATGCCGCTTTCTGGACCCTGCACCGTGCTGCGGCTAGGACACTCGTACCAGCCCCAAGCTAGAGCGGCCACGAAGGCCAAGCCAGTGAAGGCTTGCAATCTCAGGCCCATTTTGAAGACGCTCCTGCCACCGTTCAGGCTCGTAGCAAGCCAAAATACAACAAGTTCCTGCATTCCCTTGGCTTGCGCACAGCGTCTCTGATACCAATGCACAAGCGATGCAGGTACTGCTTCCCTCCGCAAGCTCCCCCCTACTTACTGAGCACATCCATCATGCCGTGAAACTTTGCCGTCCGCTACGACTGTCGTCCTGTTCCCCACGCAGGCCAGGCAGCTCACTAGGAGTTGCACCAAGATGCCGCAGCACCTGTTTCACGGGTCATAGAGATGGCAAAAACAGGGGTCCCGGCGTGCTTGCTGCAGCCACAAACAAAGACAAAACATCGGCTTGCCAGCAACAACCCCTTGGCGCGCGCAACTCACATACGATATTTCAACTGAAACACGGCAATGCAGGGAAACCTCCTGTATTGCAGCTGGGCACATGGGGACCAGGGGATAGGTCTTCATCCACATCGTGAAGCGATCCTGAGTTGATGTCCGAATCAATTGCTGCAGCAAAGAGCTCGGTCACCCTATTCACCTTCAAGCACATGCCTAGGGTTTCACAGCAACATCATCATAGACTGGGTGCAGAGCAATTACCAAGATATAGCAGGCCCTGAAAGCGTTTCAATCCACGGGTGTAGATTTCTCTCCCTGCCCATGCTTGAGGCTCGTAGTTCTCGCAGCTTTGAAGAACATTGGCCGCACCGAGGAAGAAGAGCAAAGGTATCCAGAAGCAGCAGCAACCGTTTGTGCAGAACATCGCTGCCAACACGAAGGGTGCACCTCAGAAATCGGACCAATGAGATCGAGACTAAAGGGACCTCCGCGGTGTAACACCACAGCCGTCCAACTAAACACAACCTTGCACTGGATGCGCCACGACTTAGTTTTTGAGCACACACAAAGCCGTCACGGCAGATCTCTGGATCCGAGAGTCCCTGCTTCTGCTCCTCGATCAGCTGCTGAGTAGGGATGCGGACAATGCCTGTACTTGTGGCGCCGACATCGTCTGCCATGGCAAGCGGGCGGCGCGGAGCGACACTCTGTCGCTGCTTCCGTAGGAACCACTGCTTGCTGATCTTGACTGGAAGGATGCATTTTGTTGCTCTGCATCTTTGCAACATGATTCGGACTGCAAGCATGAATCCCATCCTGCTTTTTACGAACTCATGGATGCCCTACATGTACATGTCTGGGCTGAAACCTTCGGACTCAAAAAATGTGCAGAAAAGACCCCTTCAACAAATGTGACCTTCTGGCTCTTTCACAGTTTCGGTGCTCACACTCGGACAATCCAGGCGAGGCATGTGGTTCATCACGAACCCTTCCACGACTCGATCCCCGAGCAGCAGTGCAATACTATCATGAGTAGGGCTACAACGGTAATTTTGTACTTATTTTTTGCGGGCTGCTACAAATACATTGCGCTACGGGTAAACAGCACCTGCCCCGTCCACGACGCTTGTAACTTGGTTTACATCCCTGAAAAGATATCGTACGCTTAGTCTGCTCACATCTGCTCGCAAGTACAAGTCAAAACGAAACCTTGTCATGATAACTAGCGATGAATCCCATTCTGATCATCAGCAGATGTGCAACATGTATTGCAGATACCCTGGTGCCAACTCGTGACAAGGGTTCCTTGCTGCCCCCGACTTCTCAGGGCACCTGGAGCAGCCGGGCGAGCGTCACCAGGAGGTGGGCGAGGAAGCCCAGTGCCGTATTGACATCACGCTCCTGGGATGCCACTAGTCATCCTTTCACCAAGACATGCATGGACTTCGGCCTCTTTACTTTGTCCTTGAACGTCTCTAAACTCCAAATGATTGCCTCGTTATGCTCAGTGCTGTTGTGGATATCTCCGGCTCATGCCATCTCTTCAGGGGTTAGCTTTCTGCCTTCTTGCCAAACTCCTCAGGCTTTAGGCTGCAGCGTGCTCCCTCCCAAATGATCGGATTCATCCCAGGCACCGTCTCTGGCTGGGGATCTTGATGCTTCAGCCGGTCGGTGCTTGCAACGCAGAGGCCCCGGATCGTCCAGTATCTGCCACCTCGGGAATATCAGGCACAAAAGGCCTCTTCTCTTCACGACAACTCACGAATATCCAGTTCGCAGAGCTCTCCTTCTTGGGACGGGGGTTCTTGATCTTGCCCTATGGCGATTGCACGCATGCAAGCGATGGCTCGGACGGCGGTCGAGATGCAATCATGCAGCGGATAGACCTGAACAAGAGCTCCGCAAGACCTTCATGACAACATTGGCCCCGCAAACTACCAACGCCTGGCTGACTTCGTGAAGGAGGCGGATCTGCTGGCAGCGCAGCCGACGGCCGATCTGGCGGTGCTCCGAAGCCTCCCAGAGCAGTTCGTCCCCAGCCGCCCAACCTAAACTGTCTTAGATCGCACCTTATACGTCCCAAACAATCAAAGGAGAAAGGGACATTCAGGCCTTGCCCTCTTCGCTCGCCGCGATCGTATCCAAGGAGCTCTGCACCTGCGCCTGCTGACGACGGACATCCACATTTTTGTGCAACCCTGCAAAGCACGCTGTTTCCGTGGGCACTCCTCGGCGCTTCGCAGAAGGGGCCGGCCAAGCAGAAGAGCGGTGGGCCGATAGGCCGCCACTCTGGCAGAGGAGTCTTGGGAAGCCTCCACCGTAGCAGCCGCAGGCTGCAACGTGACAGCAGGCTCAGTAGACGATGCAGTACATGGAGTGCAGCATGCCGCAGGCATGGACATGTCGAGGGAGTGTGGCAGGAGGGTTCAGGAGCACGAGAAACAAGGATCCCGGCAAGACCAACAGCAAGCAACAGAATGTGGCTTTCAGCGAAAGTGCTTAGTAGTGGGCGCTGGTTGCAATGGGTTTCCAGTCACGAGAAACCTGAGAACGTCGCACTTGCACACGTCCAAATGCTTCACTGGCGGGGGGATCTTGCAAGAAGCAGAGAAAAAATAGCTCGGACCCGCCACCATAAGAGGATGCTGAAGAATATTTCAGAACCATGACGACCAGGAACTGCGAGGTGTCCCTTCGTGTTTGTTGGCAGCTTCAACTAAAATTACCATGTTGATCCCTCACTGTACGCGAGAAGGCAAAAACAACTTCTGTTTTTGCGTTCGACAGCAGAGCAGTCTTGTGTAAGAAGTGCAATCCGAAGCTGAAGCTCCGACTAACGGCTCTCAGCAGATTCGTTCAAAGGGTTTCCGGAACGAACTGCCGCCGAAGAGAAGTGGAGCACACTGCAAAGGATGCAACCCTTCCGCAATGAGCGGGCGGGAGAGAAAAAGCTGCGCGTCAGGCGCTCAGGATAAACATGCTTGACATGTTGATCCCTCACTGTACGCGAGAAGGCAAAAACAACTTCTGTTTTTGCGTTCGACAGCAGAGTGTAAGAAGTGCAATCCGAAGCTGAAGCTCCGAGTAACGGCTCTCAGCAGATTCGTTCAAAGGGTTTCCGGAACGAACTGCCGCCGAAGAGAAGTGGAGCACACTGCAAAGGATGCAACCCTTCCACCCATAAGAACAGACCTCAAGGACTTCAAGAAGTCACGAGCGTTTGTAGCCCATGCCTGTTGTGGAAAGTGCCACAAAATCCCGAGGAAACTCACAAAGCTACAAGAGCAACAGGTCTCTGTACAGGTCGGCTGCAGATTTAACGCGGGCAACCGATTCGGGAGGTAGCTGAAGGAGTAAATTCTCTGCAGCGACCTCCTGGATGTAAGCCTCCAGGGTGACTTGGTGCCGTATCCGCATCCTCCACTGGATGGTCCCAATGTCAACGTTGCGATGGTAGGCCGCAATAGCACCACCACCTCGCAAGCCACCTGGAGTTAGTTGCAAGGTTTTGGGCACGAACAACGCGTCGAGCAGTGCATCCCATCGACGCCGAAAGGAAGCTGCTGAGCCAGCATAGAGAGGTTCGGAGCCCTCCAAGGATCCGAAGGCTTTTTCAAGGAAGGGCATTACCTCGCCGTTGTGGACCGAGACGTGTTGCACCTTGGCACGAGTTCTGCGCCCGGTTTTTGGAGCCCGGACCGTCAGGTAACAAACCAACCGCTCCGCTAAAAGTAAATCGGAGGGTAAGAGAAGATCCGCCCGCAGAGATCTCAAAGGCTCTCCAGGGCGAGCGATGCCCCAGAAAGCCAGAAGCAGAATCCCAGCTGTTCTAGTCCACGACCAAAGGATAGCTACGCTAACCATCGCACGGAGTATCACTTCTGGGAGGGGGCTCCGGTGCCTGAGAGGCTCGACGAGCTCCCACTTCGAAACTAAAGTCCAGCACGAGTGGGCATGTTGCCGAGTGAGAGGATAACGGTGGATCATCCCCAGAATAAGGTGCCGGAAAAGGTAGAGGGACTCACCGCAGGAGAACAGCTGTTTACCAAATTCGGCAATCAGAGTTGCGATCACAAGGGGGTCAAGAAGGAGCGAAGCCGCAGCAGACGTACTGGTACCGGCCTCCAGCCATTCCTCGAAGCGAGCCCAAACTCTGCTTTGGAGTCGCAAAGTTTGCCCACTCACAGGTTGAACCGAATCAAGAGGGAAATCACGAGGAGGACGAGGCGCCCTGGCTTTCGCACGCGGTCCTGGCATTGAAGCTTCACCAATCCTAGTGTTCGTCACCTTGGCGCAATCGCTGACAGAAAACTTTCCGGATGAGCCCGCCGAGTTTTTAGCTTGGTTGGCAATGCACTCCCCAATGTAGCGACTGAATCGGTATGGATAGTGCTCGGCAACTCGAGTCCACGGCATTCTATGCTTGAGAGAGTACCCCCTTAAAGGAATGTGCTTGCGGCAACCTGGGCAGGGCGCAGTGCGGAATCTCAATGAGGAATTCGTGATGATTTTCGTGGGCCTCACCCAAGCAGCTTGAAAAGCACAAAGGGTTCCCGTCCAGCACCCAACACGATCATCCTGGAGCAGCTCTTGCCATTCGGGTTGGCGCCATATCCAGCTCCTCAGAGGATTCTCAACCCAGAAGATGACGTCGCGCTCCAAGCAAAGGACGGCGATCTGCGCCAACCACCGTGAAATCGAATTACCGTTCCTAACCTTGACCTGCATGGACTCACTGATGTCGGGCTTTCCTTGAGGGGAGACCGCGTCCCGAACTCCCGGCGTGACTGCTATTGAAAATGAGCCGCAAGCTGGAGCCGCACCTACGCCGAAGAAGACTCCTTCGGATATCAAGAACTCGATTTTCACCCGAAGCTCCGCATCGAGGAGGTCCAACTTCGGATCGTCTGCTATGTCAATGCAAAGCGACCACGAATGAGCAGTCTTGGAAACGACTTTTGCGACCGCTTTGTTACCACTGAAAAGGTCCAGATACCCAGGTTTACGGAAGTCCCAAGTCCTACTTTCCTTTCCGGATCCGGTGCCCCGGGGCCACACAAAGTGACTGCTCTGGAAGCTCCGCAGACACTCAGTGGCTTCCAAGCTAAAGCAACTCTGATAATCCGGGCCAGCTGCACTGTCTTCAGAAAGATTGTTACACGGAAATCCCGCCACAAAGTCTCTAGCAGTATCGACCCGGTCTTGATGTACTTGATGAACTCCCGCCGCACTGGCACACGGATACGGATAAGAACCTCTCCCCTCAGTCGGCCCGTCTGTGCGTTCAGACAGAGGCCCCAAGAGCTCACAAGGACTCGGCACCCCCCATTGTTCTGAAAAGGTTTGGCCAACCTCGTGGAGCCACTTATCGAAATCATCGAAGTTCCCTTGGGATGCACTGTCCCACCAAGCGGGCTTAGCAATGCTAGGACCCCTGATTACAGCTCCCCGCGTGGGGTCGTCAGCCGGGTTGAGCTTGGTGTCGACATACATGGCCTCGGAGTACACGTCATTGCCCAAAACATCCGGGAGTGACTGCCTCAATTCCTGATTCAGTGCTTTGCTTGATGACCTTCCCTTCAATACGCAGCCCAAGGTGACCTGCGAATTCGAAGCCCTGAGACCTCGACTTTCCGGATGATGTTGACCTTGCCTGCGCTCCGACCTCAAGAAAGAGCGAAGCTCGGACACGTTGATGTGCCGTTGTCGACTGCTCTTGCTCTTCCAGCAAAGACGATAAGCAGGAAAACGAATCAGCGCCTCCCACATCGGGTGCATATTGTACGAGTGCCCATCCGGGAGCTCGGCCTCTGGATCTAAATCACCAAGAAGCCGCGTAAGAGCCTGCACAGGACTCAACAAACGGACCCACACCGACTTCCTCAAACTGTGTCTCACGGCTTCGCGAGCCATGGCCATCACAACTCACTTCAGCCTCTCCCCATCCAGATGCATCCGTGGCAAAAACCTTGGGCAGGACATCGGCTCGTATATTGGTGACGGCCAGAGGAAGTAGCACGGCACAAAGCATCAACTCACTCTCAAGTTCCGGGCCGATTCGGAGGATCTCGTCGGCCTCCCGGTGCTGCACCACAGCAAAAATCTCCTCTAGCAACGACAACAGCCTCCTGCGGTAAATGAAGAGCGACACCAGGGAACCCGCGATCACCTGGAGCAAACTCGGGGTAGCGGCTCGAAGAGCCACGACTTTGAGAATGACGTACATCAACGGAATAGCCCTCTCCAAAGAACCGCGAATCAGCCCAGCCTCCCCGTCAACATCGGTACCCCAGAACGTGGCTTTGACTTGATCTCGGAAAGCCTTTCCAGGATGAGGAATGAGCCCTTCTCGGATGTAAGCAGCAGAAAGATGATCGGCAGCTAAGGCCCCCTCCGAAGGAGCAGTGCTCTCGGGAACTCGGGCGACCTTTTTTCCACATACAAAATCATCTATCACAATACCTCCGAAGAGTGATGTGCGAGGAGCAGGCCCAGTCAAGGTCAACGTCATTGGAGGGCTGAGGGCACCTTCGCGCCAAGCCAAGCTTAAATGACAAGTTTGAGCTAGCTCGACAGCTTGACAGTCACCCATCGCCAAGGTGTTTAGAGCCGACACCAAGTATTTCGAAGTGCGGTGCTCCTTCTCGGAATATGCTGAGAACTTTCGGCATCGGACCTCGGGAATGTACATGCACAAGCTGTTGCGAAGAGCTCGCTCGCGAGGAACATGGAAAAGATGATAGAAATCACGCACATCGTTTCCTGAGAATACCACCTTTTCATCTGGATGCAGCTGAAGACGACACAAGCTTTCACCTGAAGCCAAACTTCGGATCCATCTGCCCAGAGGTCTTTCTAGGACGTTAGGGCGCCTCGAATCCATGATCAACCGATCCCGAGCTGCATCTTTTCCTACGGCGAAAATGCCGGACAGGAACTCTTGACGCACTTCTTCCGGTCTGAACAATGCCAGCCTGCCCGAAGCATCCAACAGCTCCAAGAATTGCTCCCGCTTGCCGTCCACCACGTGAACCTGCACACTAGGTAGAACGCCTGTGTATTCGTGAGGTGCAGCTGAAGCTTGGAGGGGGTGAAGGAAAACATCACGGCCGCGATCATCTAAGAACGGAGCGGGATCAAAACGAGGCCGTCCGACGAAAGCGATCCTCTCCGGGTCCAGCTTCTTGAAGGTCGAGCCTAGAGTCGCTTTTGAGCGCCCTAAATGAACAGCACCAGCTTCCGGATGTCCCACTTTAAGGTCCTCACGTTTGGGCTTGGCATAAACTCCGGCTGGGAAGGTCTCGCTCAGCACCGCCTCGAGCCGACCCAGTAAAGAGTCGAGCTCTTGAATTTTTTCTGCATTACGACCCATGCTCTCAGAAGTAACCGGTGAATGAATTATCCACGCTTCAAGCATCTTCTCAAGTCTCTTAACGACGGACCACTGCCTGGAATTCAACCTCCTACCAATGAGCATCTCTTCAGGGGCCTGCCGACTGCCACGAAGATGGAGGTAGGACAGCGCGATGACAATGGTGTTGATCGCCCGCTTTCGGGAGCGATCGGCAGCACTATCACTGGTTTCACGGTAGGCCTCAGGGTAAGGAGGCGGCATCGGCCACGTAATAGTCGAAGCTGAAGCTGTGCGGGATCCTGATCGACCCTCCTGTCTACGAACGCTTCTGGCAAAACACCCCAAACCGCTATCTAATTGAAGAAGGCGGCGAGGCAACGAATTCAAAAGACTCAATGCAGAAAGAGCCTGAGGTAGCGAACATGCCTCTGTGTCCGGGCCGACTCCTCGAAGCTCCTCGGCCTTCACTCTCCAGCGCCCTCGTTCTTCGGTTTGGCCTTCCCTTTCGGAGTACGGGACGGCCGCTCCGGCTTCTCCGATTCCCCGTCCTTGTCGCCCTGCCCGGGGCGCCTTTGAGCCAACTTCTTCCGGGCCTCCTGGTAAGACTCCTGCTCCTTCAGCCAGCTGCCAAAGGAACAGCTCGAACCAGCGAGGATCGTATAGAACTGAATGTTGAAGCTCGTGAGGTGCGGGGGCTAGGTGATGGCTGAATTGTTGGTATGGCGGCGGTCCTTCCAGCAACCCGACTGTCGAAATCAACCAATTTCCGGAGTCTATGCTGCTCTGCTCCCCTGCTGCCATCAGTAGGGCCACTCTGGCCCGCGCTTCGGCAACACGATCCTGAATGAGACAGTCCCAGATGGCAGCCAACTGCCACATCCACCGTACATGATTGGTGAAATTCTGCACTCTCTAACGGGTCTGCAACCATGAGCGCACTGTGGCCTGTCCTTGGGGTTCTCCCGGCACCGCCTCGCGCAATCCAAAATCTTCGCTTGCGTTCCATCGGCTCGTAAATCAATGCAGGAGATTCCCTGACTGCCTTGCGTAGCGTGGCTAGAGCCGCCGAATTTCGGCGGGATGACCCGCTTGAACTGGCATGCGCCTTGTCTCCCAGCGACCCGCATCCCAGCAAAGCCTCGAGGTCGGGCTTCGAGTCTCGACTGAGCTCCAGAACCGCTTTCTCCATCTGCTTGCCACCTAAACCCGATCCAGACGCGTCTCCCTGAAGGACCGCATCTTCCTCTGGAGGGGGGTCCTCCTCTTCCGTTTCTGAGAGAGGGCCTGTCCGGGTTGGGGCAGCGGGGAGGTCTCCGAATGATTTGGGCCGCGCCTTGAGCAACTGAGCCATCTGAGCCAAGTGTTCGTCCGGGATACCGGCGGCCCTCGCTGAAGCAACCACCCCTCGATCCAGGGCTTCTAACCCCGTTTTCGGGCCCTCCGCCCTCTGTTTCGGCCGATTGGCTGCTGAGCTCACTCGTGCCACTGGTGTTGCAACCTGTTGCCGCTGTTCTAGAAGAACGGCCAGCGAAGCCCTGATTTCCCCAATGGAATCTTCCAAAGCTGCAACCCTCCGATCCACACGATTCCCTGCTCCCCGAGGCGGCCGCGGCAGTTCGGACTCCGCGGTAAGGAATGAGAAATGATCGTCGGCCAGCTTTATCAAGGATGCGGTGTACGGCATGCAGCTTTGACCATCGGAATCTGCAAAAGCCGGCTCGAACACATCTTCGGGATCTTCGGCTCTGATAAGGCCCTCGAACTGACTCGAAGCATAGGCTACCCATACCTTGATTTCTACACCGGAGCTGGCTTGCGAAGGAGGATCCCCAGGGATGACACCGGCTACGGCCGCCAACGTGGGTCTGATCAAAGCACCTGGAGGAAGGAGCCTTTGAAGAGGCGAGCGATTCCAAGCAGGCCCGGGTACGGCAATAAGCAGGCGACTCCCAACGACGACAATCGGAATGACGGGAACCGTCTGAATACCATCCCCAACCGTGATGTTTACACAAAGCCCCCCCGGAATCTCTTCCAAGTGCTCGTTCTCCGCATTGACTAAGCAATAGTCCCGCACGGCCAGAGGGAGCCCATCCAGCTCCTCTCCGTCTAGCTCCTGGGCCTCCTCTTCTTCCGGAGCCGTCATTGTTCAGAACTTGGCCGAGAAAAGCCGGCGTGTTGCCCTGCCTCGCGAGCCTCTCGGCGAGAGGCGAACCCAGCGAACACTCTCGACTTGATGTCGCTGTACTCCTGGCCCGACTTTCCCCTATTCGTGCCCTCCAGGCAACGAAGGAAGAACTACCCAGTACCACGAGCCAGCTCCAACTGGCGATCCCGCGACCGAGAGTCGTGGCTTTGTGGAGGCTCTTCGGCCTCTGCTACAACCACCTGATACCCACGTGCTGAACCTTCTCAATCTGAGGTTGCAGGCCCCGACTACCTATTCAAGGATTTTGTACAACGGACCAGACCCGCCACGGAGTCGAGCTTTAATGCACACTCTGGCGTAAGCGCGCCAAAGGAAAAGCAGTTCCAGCACCGGGTACAACAGCAGTCCAATGGCAATGCCCACGATGAGAGAAACCAGATCCAAATTGTATCCCCAAATGGAAACAGAAGGGGAAGGTTCCAAGGTAGGGCACAGCAAATCGAACCCAGGTGGCACCGACGGCTTTATCAAGTGTTGCCCAATCGCAACAGCAAGGGCACCGAGGGATCCTGAAGCAGCAGCTGGGGCGAGGTTGTGACCGGTTTCCATCAACAGGCGCTTGAGAGAAAAAGCTGCGCGTCAGGCGCTCAGGATAAACATGTTTGACAAGCTCAAGCGCTGTTCCAGCCCTCCGCACATCACTGCCCATATGCCTACGGCATCGGAACGCAATTGCTTTCCTGCGTGAGAGGTCTTGCCTGCGAAGCAGCGGAGCGGCGCCACCAGCATAGCCTGACAGACTTCCGGCGACCCCCAACGTGCCCGGTACCGCAGAGAATCAGAGCAAGGTGCGCTGCAGACCGGACCTGCCTCGCATCTGTATCACCTCCCTCTCCAGCCACTTCGGCCCTCAGCAGCTCCAAACCTTCCAGCAGGAAAAATCATGGCAAAAGGCCGGTTGAGTGCGGTTCATGGATTGCCACCGCCCTCTTGCAACATTAATAATGGTGGAAACTATGTTGTGGCGATTCCTGGCATAAACGCCCGCCTTGTCTCCTGCGCTCCACAGTCGCCCGAAGCTCGACCAGACGTCTGAGAAATGGCTTAGACTTTGCACAGGAAAGTTGGCTTTCAGGTACTCTCACGAATCGCGAGAACTGGGTGTTGCGAGTCTCGAGCGCCGTCTTGAGGTGAAGGCACCTTGACCCTGCTTTTTGCGACTGCTGCACCTCTGCTTGGAGGCTAGACCGGGGCTCGGCGAACTGACAGATCTCGCTGTTGCACTCTCACGGTCCGCTCATCAGAAGCTGAAACCTCAGCACGAAGCCCCCAAGACACGACGGGCCTCTGGAGTGCCGCACGCTTCTCGCCCCGCGCATGGCCTCCACAACAAGGCCAACAGTCTCCAAAGCCCCGAAAGCTCGAGGCGCAGAGCACTCGAAAGTAGAATCTAGCTCTTGATTCGAAGCTTTGTCAAGTTCATGTTTTTCCTCCAGCGTCTGTCTGCGATGCACCCCCGACAGCACCTGCCCGCCGCTGTTCAAGCAGGCCCTGCAGCTGCTCCTCGCGGCAGGGACCATGCAACCCGAGGTGGATCGCAAGGGGAAGCTTTTTGAAGCTGGAAAGCGCCTGGAGCTCTGCCGTCTGGTCGTTCCAGAAATGCAGCTGCCCGCCTTGGAAGAAACATTACAAAGCGGGAGCTCACTCCTTTCAACCAAAAAGGAATCTGCAACAATGCAGCCAAGAGCGCAAAGCTCGGAGACCTTTGCTCCGGACTGACAGACCTCTGAGGTTTGAATCTGCCGGCTGGTGGCGTTCCTGGCCGAATCGCAGCGTTTGCAGCTGCAGCGCTGCGAAGTCCCAAGCCTGGCCTGTTCGGAAGCCTGCGACGCTCACCGGCCCAGCGCCTCAGCAGGTCGTTTCGGAGTCTTTTCCCTCCAAGCTTTGCGAATCTGACCGGTTGGGCTCCTACATGTATCTGATCCTAGGCTGAAGAAGGTCCCGCACTGCCGTGACGAGTCTGCGATGGATGATGAGTTGCGTGCTCGGTGGCGTACACACATTGTGGGGGCTCACGACTCACGACCGACTACCCGGAAGTCTCTGGCATCTGCGCATGGAAAGAAAACTCGAAGTGCTTGCAAGGCCACCCAACGCCCGGAGTCAGCCAAACCTCTGGCAAGGCGGCCGTGTTCCTTGCAGAGGAAGAGGGAGACTACTGCTCAAGACCAAAGCAGCAGAATACTTCAATCTCATGCGCCGAAGTCAAGTTTTGCTGATTAATTCGTAGCTGCGCTTTCCACGTGATTTGATATAAAACTGTAGATAACTGTAGAACCGAGCCGCCGCATCCGCAGCGCCAAGACCGGCTCAGACACGAGGTCTAGGTGCTCGAGGTCCTGCTGCACCGGGCCACGAATCGCCGTGAATCGGAAACGATAGATGACGACTTCGCAACCAAACATGAGAAAGCTCCTCTCCGACCACGTCGGTCTGCCGAAGGTCCACTTCGACGCTCCACCGCACCTTGCTGTTCGTTCAACAAGCGATCGAGAGGCATCAGGAGAGGCCGCTGCGCCTGACGCGCATCCTCTGCCGCGACGACTCGCAACTCGAAGGCCTGGCGGTTCACTCTCTGCCGGATTCGGTCTGGGCGTCAGCCTCGCTTCCCGCAGGCTCATCTTGGCCACAGTTTAATTGCAGTTGCTGAGTTACACCGCAGCTACTGAGTTACACCGACAAAAAGGTACAACCGGCACCCCGGTACATGTCTTACGGCAGTTCTCAACACTTCGACATACTGACGGAGTTCCGGGCTTCCATTGCAATCTGCAGGTCAGTGCTTCATGGACCTTGGCAGGTCCCGAGCTTCGGCGGACCACCAACCTCAGAAGCAAACCTTCATCATAACAACAACCGAAAGTTTCCGAAAGCATATATATTTACATATATATATATATATATATATATATATATATATATATATATATATTTGGCTCCCGCATGGCGAATCTGGCGACTGCATAGCAGGTAACACGTGGGTCCGGTTGAAAAGGGGCTCCGAAGAGCACAAAGCAGACTATCAAGATGCACACTCCCAGCCCCCCCCTTTCTTCGCTTACTAAACAACTAGGAACCCAGGGAACCCTTGCATCTCGTGGCATATATATATATATATATACATATATATATATATATATCAATCAAAGGCAATGTCGCGCTGCGTCCACATCCCCTATAGGGCCCTTAAGATGCTGTATGCGCACTCATCCGCTCCAGCATGTCTCAGTGCTGAAGGCATATTCGTTTGCAGCAGCTACTCGAAGAAATATGAAGAAATTAGAGGCTGGAGGAGGCCAGACACTGCTGTTCTGACAACGCTACGCCTCTGGGCCCACCTGCAGCTCAGCACCAGCACGAAGGCCGTCAGGTGGAGACCATGTGGGATTCCTCCAATGTTCAATGGTTTTGGACGAACTCCGGAGTCACGTGTATCTAGACAGCTGGAGACAGAGAGGTGGATTTATTGGCACTCGCGCTCGAGAGACTCGAGACTCCACGAGTAGCATCAAAGAGAGAACGCGATCCAAAATGGCCAGGGCCTCGTGTGGAGCGCTTGGCTCTGGAGGAGCAGCGGAGCCCCCGGGCCAGAGGCCAGTTGCCTTCGACTCGAACGCTCTCGCAGGCACGGCTTCTGAGGTCCCAGCTGCCTGTTTTAGGGCTCGAAAACTTCCGGGCTTTGGGTTTCACTCTGCGGCTTCTAGGGTTGATTTCAGCACTCACAGCTGGGACGAGCCTGGCGAGGTACTGTAGCAATTGCTTGTTAGGAATGTGCGGCAGGCACACGTTGCCGCTATTAATCAGCAATTGCCAAGGCACAAGACGTAGCCATCTTCTACCAGGTCGCTCGGAAGACTCCTGACCGACCGCCCTTATCTAAGGCGGGAACTAAGCAGGAGTCGCGACATCCCCCAGCAGCAGTCAAAGTCTGCCAGGGTCCTCAGAGCAAACTCGGAGATGTGGCGCAGCCGTCTCCCCGAGATCTCCTCAGCTTGGCGGTCTTTGAAAGTCTTTGGTCTGGCTACAAGCTACAGCCGGGTGACGCGCCTGCTTTCTGCCAGGGCTCGGTGCTGAAGGGGATGACGATCTCATCATTCTTCTCGGGCGGCTTGGGCTCCTCGGTCGGAATCTTCTCCTGCACTTTCGCTGGGAGGCAGGCCGTTACAAGTTCTCGGTGTCTCAGTGCGTGTCTCATGTCTTATGAACACGAATCCAAGAACACAGCCGGGTGAGATCGTTGCACGTTCATCCGATCGGCCTTTGCCGCAGGCCGCAGGACCCCCCAACCTTGGCGTAATGTCTTCACACACACACACACACGTCCTGGGCCAAATTCGGGATCCACCTCCAATCGCTTCACGAATTATCTTACCGTAACTCGGCCAGTTGTCTTTGCAGCGTCTGCATGGCGGCCACGAAGAGGCCGCATGCGGTCAGCGCCACCGAGCCGGCATAGTGGAAAGCAGCATGCTTGCGGATGAGGGCTCTGACATTCTCTGATTTCATGCGTGCCAAGGATTGGGTCATGAGGATTACTGTCTTCTGTTCTGGCGACTGATCGAGTCGATCATAGAACTACAACATTGCTGCACCAGGCTTGAGTCTTGAGGCAAGAACGGTGCTCCGAGTTCCAGCTCGCTGCTGGCATCTGCTGACGACTCGGCTACTTGGCTCAGAGGGACCTGGCTAAGCGGGTCTGCTTCAGAAAGGGTCTGCAGTTGCATTCAGTCATTTCGGAAGCAGAAGATCGAGCATGTGAATAGGTCGTGCTTCCAAGAGGTGCGCAGAGCTTGAGGCAGGAGACAGGCAGAGGCAGCAGATGAACCCATGTCCAAAGCTGCGATGCTGGGGATTCGCCGTGCTTCCCTCGTGGGTCCTACCCTGTGCCGAGCTCCCTGCCGGAGGCGGCCTTGGTCTTGGGTTCCCAGGCCCAATGAGGCTTCTAGTCGTCAATGTCCAGATGTGGAACCCACGCAACGTCACAAGGTCAAGAAGGAGCAAGGTGTCTCTAAGCAACCCTCCTGGAGGTGGCAAGCTTGCTCGATCATGCCTGCAGCTATTTCAGAACAGCTGGCCTTGCTATTGTTGACTGATGCCGTTGCAGGCCTTGGCACGGCAAGCTCAGGCGAAGATGGCTACAAACGCGGATTCCAGCTTCGTGTTTCGAAGGCGAGAAAAATGCTGCTACTGCTAAAGATGCAGAATGGTAAAGATGTAACTAACACCGCCAGAAAGTCCAATCATGTATGCTGAATCTTCAGTTGACAAATCTCAGACGGACCGGCCTCAGGATGAACCTGCATGATTACCAGTCAACTCTGACAGCTGTGCCCTCAATAACACATGGGGGCGATGGTATCAAATCCTGAGCCCCGGGAAGCTTGGACTGCTGTGAATGGGCCTTTTCCGTCAACGCAAGAGCATGTCCCACGACTGCCGCACACATTGGAAGGGCCGTCTGCTCGACAGTGCGTCCCCTGAAGATCCTTGCAGATGCCTCGCCCGCTTCCCTGTAATCCACTGTTTTCTGATCCGACACATGGAAGGATGAAAGAGGCCAAATGCTCGTCTGCAAGGGTCCCGCGAGGAATCGACACTGGAGCAAATCTTCCCTGCCGAGGCTCCATGCTCCGCGGTCCACATGCAGCTCTGCTTCGTGTTGGGTTTCTTTTCGGGACCAGCGTATGGTGGCATCGACATGATTGCAGACAAAAGAAAACCCAACACTTTCTTGAACTGCGAAGCCATGAGATCTGATCTCATGAGAAGTATCAGCCTGGCCAAATGCACAGGGGCTGTCAAAACGGTCACACGCGCGTGATGCGCATGGCGCAGATATGGAGGAGGCCCTGACCCGGCCAACATGCAAAAAGGACTAAATGACCATCAGGAACCCTGGCAATCGGACGATCAAATGCCGAGGACATGTCACAGAAAGCGGCTTGAAGCACGCAACATGTTGCGAAGGCATCATGGGCTTTCACGGGAAGCATGGCTTTCTGCAGCAGGCCAGCCAAACTGACGAGGCCACTCTTTCCTCCTCAGCCGGCATATGGCAAGACGCCAACTGCCTCAAAGCGAAAAGTTGGAGTTCACCAGGAACACGATTCGAAAGCTTCGATCGCATGCCTGGACCTGCAACCTTTTCGGGAGGCGAATTCCTTGCCCAGTCGAGAAGCGGCGCTACATCACCCAAATGACGAGCTGCAATCGCTTCGTAGCGGGCGACACAAAATTTGCTAAGGTGCCAGGAATGGCTCTACAAGGCATGCCCGGAAGCGCTGTATGTGTTTATCCTGAGTTTTCCGAGCTTCGGCCACATCAAGCAGAGCCGCTATACATAGGAGGAAAATCGAGAACAACATGGCCGCATGGTCACAGCCGAATCACATGAATACCTGCTTGGCACTGGGATGGACCCGCGAGGTCTTCCCCGCGGCAAGTGAGCGGCCACCCTGTTCGGATTTGATGGCCCAGGAGCTGCTGGACAAACTGCTTGTGCCACTTGCACCACCGCTGCAAGTGCTGTTCGCGCTGGTCTTGCTCGGGCTTGGGCTTCCCTTCAGCTTTCTGTCGCCGTCAGGAACTCGCAAATGCTGCCACTGCGCTGGTCGCGACAGGCCCCTGGATTCGCCAGAAACATTGCTGGAGTTCCAGGACACTCGGATCGCAGGCTCCTGCAAGTGGACTGCCTGCGTCAGTGTGGGAGCTGACGGTGTTGAGCGCAGTTCTGCTGGAGGCTGGGGGCACTTCTCCACCGGCACATGGGGGCTAAACCTGGGAAGCTGCACCATCACTTTGGTGCGCCTGGGCTTGCCGTGGGCAAGGCTAGACCAGAGTGCACAGATGAGTGCCACAGAAGCTGCAATAACCAGCAAAAGGCCTCCAATCAGAGCGATGACTGCCAAGCTCAAGTTCCCCTCTTCTTCATCAGTCGAGGTCTCAGGTTGGAAAACCGGCTCATCTTGCTGTTTCATCACATAGCTGTCAACTGCAGGGGGTGCAACTCCAGGTCTTCCATCTCCCCCCAAAGGTCCGATAGGAATCTCGACCACAGGGTCGCCTGCCGGAGGTGGGCCTATGGTGGAACGAGCTGTGATCAAGATCCCGGAGGATTGGCCCGTCCCCGTCCCCCCGGAGATGAAGCCAGCATCGCCCTGCGTTTCTAGGCGGTCCCGCTGCTCCGGAGTGAGGCATGCGCACATGCAGGAGGCCGTGGCATAGTACTGGCCTCCGTCGCAATGGAAAGCACAGGACCAGAAGAAGGCCTGGCCTCCTGTAACGTCGACGTATCCAGGCAGACACCGCGGAGCCACCGCCTCTTCCGAGTCTCTGACCGGAGCCTGCTGAACATTACAGTTGGACCTATTTAACCCCTATCAAATCTGCCTGCTAACACTACACAGTAACCCATCACACCACAAGTGCAGGCAACCCGAAGAAGTAGCCAAAGACATCAATAAACGGTCCAGGAGACAGAGACATCAGAGACGAACTCGCCGAGCCGCACAGACGCGCAGAGACACACACACACACACACACACACACACACAGACAGAGACAGAAAGACAGAGACAGAGACAGACGGACAGACAGACGGAGACGGCCACGCGTACTCTGACAAGCACACAAAAAGTGAGTACTGTCGTTCGTGCCAACTTGATTGCCATGTGGAGTAGCACCGAGACGAAAGCAGCAGCAGTGCTCACGGCAGCCGAGGCTCTTGATCAGCGGGCGTCTGCTGAAGCCTGCTTCGAGCATGAGCTGTGCTGGGACGCAGCCGGAGTGGAGATCGTTTGACTCATGTCAACACATGCTTTGCCGAGGGCTGCCTCATGTATATAAGAACTCGTGTGTTGCGGATGACTCCCAAGTCTGCAACAGAAGAAAGCCAATCTTTCACCGGGCTGCTCTCTCGCAGCACTCGCACCACGCAAGGATGCTGCGGAGCTCGTTGCCTCCTGAAGCGACTCTACCAGTCGACTCAGCTTGAACTGACAAGGGCTCACAAATCACAATCAGTAACGACGAAGTGCAGACCTCGGCCATGACTTCTGCGAGCATCGCAAGGATTGCAATGGCCACCGCCATCACGATGCAACCGAGCAGTCTGTCGCCCCTGGCCCTATGAATCCAAACAAAAACCTGTCGAGCCGAGGTGGACAAGCATTCACCAGCATGCGATTCCCCATGACGGACATGCCCAAGCAACTCTTCGGTTCAACCATCGAAAGCTCCCGCCGAAGGAAAGGGCCCTGAAGCTTCAAGGAAAAGAAGAACGGCTCCCAGGTCCCGAAAGCCCAGATGATCCGTGCTTTTCTGCGAGGGCCGCACGGAGGCTGCTGCACTTTCGGCTCGAACGGCCCTGAGCCAACACATTCGCGCAAGCTTGGAAAGTTGCTCCTTAAAAGATTACTATAGATAAAATTCAAAGGAATGACATTACTGATTCTTGAGACCCCTGTTTCAGCTCTCCTGCTGTCCTTCCCTCGAGCGTTTTCGCCCCAGATCTTCACTGTGCCCCTGTCTACTCGGGCCGAAACCCGTCTGGGGCCTTCAGAGAATAGACTGATCTCGACTCAGAAAACTGCTAGGCCCGTTCCGTCGAAGACATTCATCTATCACAGGTAACAAGCACACCGAACCCGCACTGCTTCGCATGCAATACTCTGCCTCTACCTCGCTCTGAATGACTGAGGGCGACGTGCCAGCAGAGTTCCCGAGGGTAAGCTTAGGGAAATATGTCTTGGCTACGGCTCCAGCGCCAGCCAAGCGTCGTCGTGTGGGTGCTCGCCGCGGGGTGACAGCCTCTGACTGCGCTTCCTGGGCACTCTGGTTCAGAGTTCAGACCTTCAACGTCCTATTCTAGCAGAGCACACATGTACCAAGACCCGCAGACCTTCCCGGACAGCTCGCAAGAATGATTTCAGCGAAGAGCGACGAAGAGTGCGTCAATACATATGTGCTACTGTATGTATGCACGAACGAGAATGCTAAAACTCTCTGTGCTAATATTCTCGACATCAAGCATCACCATGAACGACGAGCACCCTAACCATGTTGGCGTGAAAAAACAATGCCTGCACGGCTTAGGGGGGCAAGACTATTGCTGTTAAGCTTCACTGCAGAGGACTGCCTGTCATAAGAAATGCTGTAAGTACAAAGTCAAGACCAATCAGACACTTGCAAGCCCCGCCATGAGAGCGTCAAGATTGGAATGGGGTGAACACAAGACGCACTTTATCGTGGTGTGAAGCACGGTCAAGTGACCTTGTGCTCTGTGATTTATGCCATGCTTTCCCTTTACATGAGCAATACAGCACTGCAACTGGTTTTACGTCCCGAGAAACTTTAGCTGAATGTCTGTCTCTTTGAACTCTATGAAACTGAGGTACACGTCACTTCGCATAAAACCATGACACATAGATGAATAAATTAAACGTTGCCACATATTGCAATTCTCGGCCTTGACCCTGACGTGACGCATGGTATCAGGCATGATGTGCTAAAACGTCATGCCGCATGCCATTTGCCACATATATGCTGCCAGCTTGCCTGGCGTGATCGCGGTGTTCGAGGTGTGCTCGGCGCCGAGCGGGCAGGTGTGCGGGCTGCCACCTGCGACAGTCGCGTTGCGATCCGCTTCTCTTCCGTCCAGGTTTGTGTAGCGAGGATCATAAGACATTAAAAGCTCAACAAATCTCATCTCAACACAGGCTGCCACATAGCAGCTTGAAATTGGTACGCTTTGCATGCCTTGGGTGTCTGGGGCGTGCGTGGACTCTTGGCCGCTCGGGGTGTTCCCGGTGTCGGCGTCCGGCCTTTGCAACGACACATGCAGCATTTCAGCACAAATCTCAGCTGCTGCGATGTCGGATGCGAAAGATGCGACAGAGGTTTGCAGCCGCATGGTTGCAGTCAGCGTCACGGGGCTCCGGGTTGCCGACGAGGTGTGCGTGGCTCCGTGCTAGATACGAGCGCCTGGCCAACGCTGCAGCCGTGCAAAGCCACTGCCCCTTCGTGCACAGCACCTACTTCAAACTCTACAGCCCCACCGCATTCTGTGCTCGGAGCTGCTCCACTTCCTGTCGCAGGAGCATGTTCCTTGGAACTACGACAGGCTCGATTGCTGTGCAATTTCTCAGGCTTGCATGCGGCATGTCAATAGTCTTCCTGTGGGAGTGGCGCGAAACTTCATTGCAGCAGGCTCCGATGTGCAGCCGCGCCACTCCTGTTCCAAAGCCCTGGAGTGGAGGTTCGCCACAAGGCTGGCCTCTGCAGTCTGGCCAGGCTTCATGCTGGCGATGGACAATGCATGATTCACATCGGTTACCAAATTGCCAGCCTCAATCTGTTGAGCCTCTCGAACCCTCTTAACAAGGCATCAGATCTGTTGACTCTGCCCCCTTGCTTCTGCTGCAGCGCCAAACATGGCATCAGATCTCTCTGCGCGGCATGCTCTGAGCAGTCACAATAAGCGCCCTTCTCACATCATCCGATTTATACCATCACAACCATCTACCGATCATAATAAACCAGTATGACCGTCACCAGCGGGACCTGGGCTTGTTTGGCGGGTGTTGTCTGAAGAAGTTTACGTTTTGTTGAATGCCCATCCCTGTCAGACGACTCAGGCTAGCACCGGAGGCTCCCTGGCAGCTTTAACATCCCCAGGCTTCCTGGCAGCGAGGAACAAATGGCTTATTGTGGCGTCCTACCGAGAACGCAATTTTGTCGCGAAACAAAGACAATCAATTTCCAGAGGTGCTAAGAAGGAATAGGGGGTCCGGCATGCACGGCAGGACTCTCATTCACATCGCGATGTACTCCGGAACAGGAAATCGAATTGCTGCGCCTGCCAAGCGAGGATGTATCGGTGTTGGTAATGTCCGACAGCACCATGTTTGGGCCCTGACATCGAAGCCAACGGCATCAAACAAAGCCGATGATTAGTTCCGTGGGGTATTGGCGATATTGACATTCTGCATGGGCCCTTCCAATGCCGGCGCTGCTACTTCTGTTTTGACAAAGGGCCGCATCCTCACGCACTTCACGCAAGAGCCCTGCTGGCCCCGAAGACAGAAGTCCCGAGCTTCGATTCGGGTCTCGATTCAACAAAGTAAGCCGGGGCTTCTCACTACGGGAGCCAGCACAGGCTAGCGGCTTTGAACATTTTCCGTAATTACACGCCGACGACGGTGCAGAGCCATGCACGACTGGATCGACGTGGCTGGCCGCCACGCAGCGTCATCGTGTCCCCTGCAAAGCCTGGATGGGCACTTCCCAAGCAGGCATTGCATCTGCAAAGAACAACCGGGACCTGCCAATTGCCTTGCTTGGAACTCCTCTGCCTGTTGCTGTGTTGAAGCATGTTGAGCCATGTCATCCTTGTGAACGGCTGCGTGTTGAAACTCGCAAGTCCCGACCCTACAACGAACCAGTGCAGCTGCACTGGACAGAAAACTTGGCACTCTGCAGCATCACCCCTGCTGCAAGGCCAGTACACCAGGATGTGCCGTCGTATGAGAATGCGCGGCAGTTGTTATTGTTGCGACTCTATTGGCATGTCGCCTGTCATCGGTGCATGATCTCCGCGTTTCGGGTGCTGCGGCCTGAATGGCTGTACCTGGCCGACACACTAAGGAAGCCTGCCGCAGAAATGGAGAGCTTCCGATGGGCCGTTGAAGAAACCGCCGGGGCAGGGCGCGCAGCGGGATGCTTCTACTTCGGCGCGGCTTACATGATCTTTCAGAAGGCTAGGCGCGAGACCACCCCGCATTCATGAGCTGGATATTTATCACGCCAACTACGACACCGAGCACGAAGCATCCCCTTAAATGCAGTTTACCCGCAATGCACGCATTCAGTAGCCGGCTTGTGGCATGGCAGCAAGAGACTCATGAATTTCGGCCAACATCTGTTTCGCGTCGGACACAAGAGCCACAGGCTGAACCTCGTCCACTGAGTACCTCTGACAGCGGCAGTGCGAAGGTCGGTGCGGAAGCGGAATGGCTCGGCCTGACGCGTTCGTTCTCTTGCCAGATCTCCTTCTGGGCACGGAGTCGGAGCAAGCACTTCCTGCTCAGGGCTTCTACTCCAGGGAGAGCCATAAAGCTGCATACTGGCAGTAGAACAGCAGCCCTACCATGAAAACCCCGCTGATCGAACAGATGTTTCTGCGGTTTTGCACTGCACCACTCAACTCATTCAACTGCGGATTTCTATGATCAACTTGCTGATCACTGACAGATCTGATCCTCCACTCCATTCGACCATTGAGCTGCCGCAGTTGATCTGCCAGCTGGCCACTGTTCATGCCTCCATCATAGACCTGCGCATAGTCCTCCACAAGTCTTAGACAAGAGTGTAGGCCTGGCTTGGTGCTGTAAACATGCTGTCCTTGGCAGGACACTTCAGCAGCTTGTTGACGGCTTCATCATAGAGGTTAACCTGGTAAGGCTGAAAACACGACGCGCTCATGGCATCCCAGAGCGCGGTCCCTCCCTCCTCGCACTTGTCCGTGTGATCCAGAACGGTGAGTCGGCAGAGATACCTCTGAGCCAGCTCAGCTCAGTCGAGTGGCAGGTGGCACCGATTGCAGGTGGCGTTGCAGCTCAGGCGCCTGAAATCTGGCTGCTGTGATTTGTGGCCAGAAGCGCACATCCACATCCCATCTCCATCCTGCGTGACCTTCTTGTTGCACGTCCTGTCCCAGGCTACTTGTACTCGGAACCAATGAAGTTTCTTTCATGGTAAGGATATGCTTCATGCTACCCGTTGCCAGCCTCGTGCTGGACTGGCCCGCGGAAGTCGGAGGCTGTGAGGCTTCCGTAACGTGAGGGCATGCCGTGTAGTAAGGAGGCCGGTCCATCGGCAAGTTCGTCATCGTAGCCACGACCCAGTGCCTGTGGATGCCTTCGAAGAATGCATGGGACCGGGAACAAGGCATAGCTGTAGGAACACCGTCCCAGTGGAGCCAAAAGGGAAGGGCGCTCTGAAAGATGTGCCAAGCCACTCTTTGGTTCACCTGGTCCAGCCGGCTGCTGCCATGGCGTCGGCGGAGCACCCAGACCAATGTCCTCCTGTTCTGGGCTTTTCTGGCTACCGCGAGAAACCACTCCAGCATCAAAACCCGCCTGGCGCAGTTCTTCGATGGTTTGGCGTCTTCCTGTCGAGCTGCCCCAGTTGGTCCGCGCCCTTGGGCCGAAAAACACTCAACACAACTGCGACTCTCTCCGCAAAGGCTGGCATACGCCAGACATGCGTACCTGACTTCTTCGCAACAAACCTACCCTGTGTATCCGAGCTAAGGCGATACCTTCGCTAGAAAGATCCTACAGCACCTGTTGTCTCTTGATAGGTTCCACGACTTCACATGCAATGCACACCGCCAGGTGCGTGGCTTTAAAAATGGTGCTGAGACCACAGGAGCAGAATCATGGCAGGGGCTCAGCATGCCCTTCCCCACTGCTACCAGAAAGCCAAGGAACTGGAAGGCTTGAGGGTTCGTCTGCTGCAGCTGCTGGTAGCTGCGAATCAAAGCAAAGGCCTGGGGGTGGTCCGGACCTCGGTGCGAGCTGAGTTCTCTGAGAAGAGCAGCGCTCTTCAGCTCCATACCACAGCATACCAGCACTTGGTCACTTGCAGCACTCTTGCCCCTGTCCTGTTTGGAGGCACTAAACCACTAAGCCACTAAGAAAACACCGCTTTGTGTTTGTTTTCCTATCAAGTCTCCGCCTCGGCTCCTCCAGTCGCCGGGGCCCCGGCTGTGCTGCATGCCCGCGGGGCTGCTGAGACTCTTCGTTCCGTTGAACTCCGTGACTCGCGCCTGCTTCAAGAAGATCACCTCTCAAAGGCATGGCAGAGAACTCTTCTCACCGGTGTCGGACTACTGCGCTCAACGGCACAAGCCACTCGCAAGCTCCGGAACATTCCATGCCTCCTGCCCCTCTCCCCCGCTCCCCGGCGGTTCCTGGTTCATTTCGAACTCCGAGCTTAGAGCCGTGTCGCCCCAAAGCCTGACAAGCTCTCAATACCAGAAGAATGGGAAAAGAAGCACCAGGAGACGCAGCAAAGTATGAGTGTCAGGTTCCAAGCCACGTTAGCTCGCAGGTGCTGCCAGACGCAGGGTCGCCCGAGGTGTCCCAAATGTGAAGAACCTTCGAATTAAGCAAGTCTAGGCTTGTAGACACGGGAAAGGCTCAGCAGGTTCTTTTTCACTACGTCAGTCGCGAAATGACGAGACACCCTCTTCGTCATCTCTTTGTTCGATGTCTTGGCAGTGAATGTGAAGGGCTCCTGCATGTGGAAGATCACCTTAGAGACCGATGGAAATCACTGAACTGTATCAATATCAGGGACCGCTTACTCACTGGGCTCTGATCCAGGCTCGTGGTTGCTGCGAGCCGCCGCTTTGACATCGATGCGCGTTTCGGGCTGCAGGGTTTCCACACTCGCGAGGTCCCGGAAGTCGTAGCCTGGAGTATGGGATAGTATGGTGACGGGTCGTGACCTGCCCGGAAGAGGTCCTACACACCATGGGTCTCCCACCGAAGCCCTGCATCAGACGTGTGAAGACTCGGAGCTGATCTTCGGGATATCGTCATCCTCGCCCGCTGCCTCGATGAGGGCGTGCCTCAGCGCGGCGAAGGTTCGGGGCTGCAGCCGTCCTCCGGCATCCTTTTAGTCTCAGGTCCAAGGGGCTCTTCGAACACCAAGACGTGGTCACCGCGGTCGTAGCCTCGACTGTGCGCATGGCAGGACACATCGCATGACATCGCATGACCCAGTCAATTCAGCTGGGTCGCGCTTGTTTGCCGGCTTGATCTGGCCCTTCTGGAAAGTATACACCTCTCTTACTGTCCGGAAAAGTTGGTAAAAAGTGGTCGAGTGCTACATGTAGAACTCACCTCGAGAGAAAACCCCAAAGGACTTTGGGAAGCCTTCTCCGGTTTCAGCAGCGAGTAGTACTTGTCCACGGCACGGCCGAAAAACGTTGCCGAGATCTCGCCGGTCTTGTCTCCGAGGTCCACCTGGCAACGCGAGGGCTGCCGTCCCTTTGGCACTGCGTGCACGTGTTTACACAGGTGGTTGACTTAGCGGACTTAGCGCCCTTTGGCCATTTGGCCACGCGCTAACAATGCGGGATGGGCATCGCCCAAAGCTTAGTCCCGCGCCTTGAAAAGCTGGCCCTCTCCACGCTGATTGTTGAACTTCCGCACGTCACCTTTCGTGAGAACCCGCGCCTGCCGCAGGGTCAGAAAGTGGGCTGCGGACGGTGCAGGCCACGACGAAGTTTCTTCCAAGACGGCAGCCACAACCCTCTACTCCTAAACCACGCCGCGAGTATGGCGCACTGTCGATTCCACGGGTCCTTGATCTTCCATCGTCCACCGGTGTAGGCATTCAGAGCACCTTGCACCGTTGACTTCGAGCTGCCGCTGAATTTTTTGACACTCACACTCGGACAAGCCTGGCAAGGTCTGCAGATGTAGGTTCGACGTGGTACATTAACCCTGTAAGCCGATTCACTTACAGGCCAGCTGTCAGACACAACCCAGGAAATGCCAAACACCAAGTGTACAAGCATAGGAATAAAGGTTCCAACTGACAGCAGACTCCCAGAGCACAAACACTAAACCATAAACAACCCCAGCCCCTAGTTCCGTACTCCAGGAGCCCAGTGAAACAAGTCTGGCTCGTAACCATCTACCGCATAGTTGAACATCGAGCACAAAGTTGAATGTCTCGTCTCAGGCTTCACTCAGTGCATGCAGCTTGCAGTTGTCACACCATCACGACAGCAATCAGGAACACATGGCGTGCAAGTCCAACAGAGATTCCACTCAGTCATATCATGCAGGTATCGAATATCATGCTTGCTTGTCATGCAGAAAACAAATTCCCATGCCGTGTATGTTCGTCCTCCTTCGCAGGTATCTGTTCCAAATTCAGTTGCCACCATATTCTGCTCCATCACGGACTCATGTAGGTCATGCAGTCAGCATACCCGAATACACAGTACACTGTCCATCAACATGCACATGCCAAGCTTCCCGCTGCTTCCATGCCACAAGCCAAAAACATGCAGTTGCTTCCGGGGCAGAGATGTTGATTGCAGCGAATTCCAACTTCTCAAATTCCTCATTTGCAGTCTGCAGAGGACGCAGTATATGATGTGCCCAAAAGGCTTGTTGCAAAACTCACATACCCAGATAAAGCAGAGGTCGTAGTAGCAGAGTCCTGAATCTCAGAGTCAGCATGCATCTTGCAATATGGAATATGGCGAATTCCTTCATGTTGTATGCAGAATAACCGCGTCTGAATTTTCATCTCTCTGTCATATGACGATAAACTACACCAAATTCGCAAATTCTGGCTCAGCGTGCAGTGGACAACACGCAGAGGCGGGATTCCCCGCAGGCATTACTGGCGGAGCTGGTGGTACCATAGTGAAGGCGCGAGCTGAGCATTCCTCATGCAGCTTGCCGAGGGCGCGGTATAGGAAGTGCAGTAGGCCCAAAACTTGTTGACGGGCTCCCATACCCAGATTCCTCCATGCTATATGCAGAACGAGTGGTTCCGAATTCTCATCAATGGCGGAGCTGATGGTATCGCAGTGAAGGCGCCAGTTGAGCGTCCACATAAAGGAACCACGTGCGGAGTCGAATTCGCTCGTAGACCTGTAAGAGTTCAGCGTAGAACTCCGGGGGCGGCTTCCTCGTTGCTCGCAGATTCAGTCGTTGTAATTCATCGCATCGTTGTAGAATCCTTCTCCAGTAATCTGCGATCAGAGGGGTTTGTATGAAGGGCTCCAGCTCTGGGAGTTGATGTAGCTCCCTCACAAACCCGGCCACATTATTTGCAAAGATACGGGGGCATGCAGAATCCTCCATGATCTCCACAAACTCTTGAATTCCAATCCCATCATCAATCCATGCAGGAATTCTTCGGTACAGTCCGAAAGTCATGGCGCGGCAAGGTGGAGTGAAACTGAGTTTGATGTCTGGTTTCCCGTAGGGGCCCTTTGTGATTGATGTAATGGGGGAAGTAGGCTGAACTCAGTGTACAGGCTTGCAGGTTGCAGCAGCATCATCACAACACCCATCCATCACCCAGAATGTTTTTCACACAGCTAGGCTCAGGTGTGGGTTGTTGAGGAGAAGTTACTGATCCTCTTGGCTGTCCAACACCTCGATGATGTCGTGCTCCTCCTTTCGAGATGGTGGGAGCTGCAGAAATTCCTGAAGGGTGAGCTGCTTCAGGCGGCAGGGTGTTTCCAAGGATTCCTTGAGGTCGGTTTTGGAGTTAATTCGGAAACCTAGGTCAAGAAGTTGGTCGATGACCTCGGGATGTAGGGTGCTTAGGTGAATAGAGTTAAACGCAACCAAAACAACTCTGGAGGCTGGATCAGCAGCAGAGGGCATGACCCCTGCGTGGAGGAGTCTCCTGGCGTTAAGGATGTAGGGTCGATCAATTGATACAACCCTGCCTTTAACATGAGTGCCTAGATGAGTCATGGTGACATCCCCACATGGGTCCTGAATCCAAAGCCCTGCCCCTGGGATCGGTGGGGAAAGTTGCATGATTAAGGACTGGTTGCTCCCATTGTTAGTATCACGATGAGGCCTGGTTTTACACCCACGAAACACGATGCAGCAGGTGAACCTGAAGTCAGGACAGACATAAGCAATCATTTTCGTAATGACTAGTGTCAGAAACGGCATGTCAATAGAAAAAGTAAACAAACATTGGGAGTTGCGAGGGTTCGCCCCTGTACCGAAATACCGGGTTCCATCCTTGGCACTTCGTCTAAGATACGTCAACGGAATCATGTCAAACAGGTGATACACATCTTGTGGTGTGGGTGGTTCAGGTTGTCTAAGAATCAAGAGGGCTTGATACTCAATGGGCCTAAGGAGAGGACTGTCAGAAAGTGCAAATGGTGGGTCGAGTATAGTTGTGCGCATGGCTTCAAAAGGCGTTCGATCTAGCTTGTTGATTCGTCGTCGTTGATGTTGAGGCTTGGGTTCGGGGTGTTCGCTAACATCATCAACAGGAATTGGTTCCAGCACCGAGGGGCCCTGCAGCGGAAAGGGAAAGGCATTCATGATAGCAAAGCCGAGGTTTCTGCTGAGTTGTTGCTAGAGCCATAACGCTGGGGAAGGGATGTTGGGTTTGGGGCCTTGCATGCAAAAGAGTCTCCCAGCACAGTTGCTTCTTTGTCACTCCTGCCGGATTCTAGGTAGTCTTGCAGAGGGTCATGCACATTCATCTAGTTGTATTCAGGATAGCCTGTAGGCTATTCAGTGTTGGTACAACATCTGTTTCCAGGACAGATCTCAGATGGGAAAAGGACATCTTCACTTGTTTAAAATTCGTTTCATTATTAATTACAAGGGCTTTTGCATGCAGAGTTTGATCCTCACATGCTCGACGAATTCGCTTGAAGTTCTCATCATGGGCTTCGAGCTGTTCCACACAGTTATCAAGGGAGACCTCAAGTGTGGCTATGCGGTGGCCCAGGTCCTGTACAATATTCTTGAATTCATCCCCGAAAAGTCGAATCAGCTTCTCCAGGTCCTCGCGCTGTCGAAGTTGTTGTGCCAAGGTTTCACCCAGCTTGCGATCGTTCATACGTACCAAGCGCAGGATGTTGTCTGACAGCGTTTCCGAAAACAAGGAGCCCTCAACCACCACCCCAGCCGAAGAATGAAGGCGATGGTGAGTGTCTTCCAAAGTCTGAAGTAAGTTCGCCAATCTTGCAGCCAGGGACCAAGCCTGAGCGGTCACTTGCAGAGTGAATTCCCACATTCGTTGAAGACTCCACAGGAGCAATATGGTTATGAAAGCGTAGAGCAGCGTATGGACATCCATGGCAACAAATACACTACCGAGTGGACGATGGTTCGCTACTGGACTGGAGTGTGCCAAAGGTCAACAGCACAAATCGATCTTTCTACAGACGGTAAAACTATCTTAAAACATGCATTGCAAAGACCGCGGCCCATCGAACGACCTTTTAAGAACTCACATCCCTCGAAGCACATGAGTGGCTGCAAGTGCTAACACTTGAAGATCCGGGTGATCTTCCATCGGGTCCTCTTCCCAAGGCGCCACAGGCGGCAGGATGGAAACTAAATTATAAAAGTCACCAGGAGAAGCTCTGTATCCAAACAGACCCAATTCTGAGTCCACACACCGTCTGAGGGCCTCAGTATGAAAATTTAGGTCCTCGCGCAAAGAATTCATTGCTTCCTCAGTCACATCAAGGTCACATCGGAATTTCCCTGGGGGAAACTCATTGACCAAGGTGTGATGCATGGCACGCAAAAGCGGAGAGGCTTGATGGACTTTATGTTCCACCCGTCCTTGGAGTTGCTGTAGTTGCTCCACTGAACGAACCAGGTCCTGGGTGAGGGTCGTCAATGCCTGTAGGAGTCGAATACAATGAGCTGCCCCCCCTCGTGGCATGCAGAGCTCTGCAGGTGGTGGTTCATGGAGGGCTTCTCTAGCATCGGTGTGCATATGAATTACAAATTCCCGAACTTGTCTCAGCCCTTCATTGATTGCGTCAAGGCTTTCAGCGATGTGTGTGAAGGCCACCAATTCCTCATGAACTTCCAAGAGGAGTTTCGGCATTCGGCACAGGCATCCCCAGAACTTGCGTTGCCAGGAGAGAAGCCCACGAAACATCAACATGCAAATCAGAAAAACCAGCACCAAATTCAATATGTACTGCCATGAAGGGGTTCCCATGTGAGCGACCTAACAGCTTCGAGAAAAGCAGCTACAGGATGTCGCCAAATCACTCCCTAAGAACCAAATGATTGCCAAGAAACTGAACATGTTGCAAGACACTCGCACTGGAAAGTTTTTACTTGCATGGATGCTGACGAGTAGGTGATCAGCGCCTCTGTTGGGCTTGTTGGGCTTGCAGGACCTGTGCAGCTGCCATCACCAAAGTGGTGAGGTCAGCCCCGCCTCCTTGACCAGGCGTGGCGCCGGGAGAGCCCGGAACTGGCGGTGGACCCGGCAATGAGTCCACCAAAGATATGGAGCGTGTTTCCTCCTGAGTCGTAGTGCGACCCTGATCCTGATGACCTTGATCGCTCCCACGACTGTCACTTGCACGCGAATTAGAATACTGGTTGTATCCTTGCTGTGAATTAGAATACTGTCCTTGCTGTGAATTAGAATACTGTCCTTGTTGTGAATTCTCTTGCTTGTACCATGCATTCACATCCCCTTGGATGGTCTTCAGGGTGTCTTTGAGATAGTCAAACTTCTTGGCAAGCAGACCCTGGGGGAGCTCCGCCTTGATGATCTTGAGTGCTTCATCCAAAGCAACCTGAGCTTTGGCAACTTCTCCCAAGCACCTTGCGCCAAGGTCGTTGCCATTCCTCACCAAGCCA